ACAGAGAGAAAAACAGAATAATCTTATAATGAAAAGAAAAAAAGGAAGTTGCCCCAACAACGTTCTTACGATATTATCCTATGACTAAACAGTGTTAGACATTTTTTGATTGGAGATGAAAATGATTTTTTTTCTTTTAGAAAAATATTAGTTTCTGGTTATACTTAGATAGTTATAAGTTTTACATCATATGGAAATAATGAAATATGTTCAAGATGATTTAGGCTAATAGAAAACAGACCGACAAAAGAACAGAACAGAGCACTTGCGCAAAGGCATTGCATTTTCTCACTATTTCTGAAATCAAACATTAATATTTAATCAGAACGTCCAATAAAACAAGACGAAAAGTAAGTTATTTTTCTATTCATATTATTAATATACAATTTTTCTTGTTTACTATATTTAAAAAGAGTTTCAATGCTCATCATCATTATTCTAATTCTAAATATGTATATATCTGTATAGACAAGTGATAAATATTCTTTGAGCTAGATTAACAAGTTGTGTTGACAGTGATGTATGACATAATTATCTTATCCTTGCAAAATTTCTGACATGCACATTTTGAAAGAAAAAAAAAAACATTAATAGATCATTTTTTTTAATTTCGTTGTTGTTACTATTATTGTTTTCACAAAGAAAAATATTTGATCGATATCCATCACACATGCTTTTCGTCTCTGTAAATAGTAAAAATCGATTGCGATGATTTGAGATAGAAATATACAATACATATATTTTAGTCTACATCGGCGTCGAATGATTACAGAAGAAAAAAATATTTCAAAGACTTTTCTTCGTTCTAGAATTTCATTTCACAGTGTGCATAATAGATAAAAAAAAATTTGCTTGTAGACAAAGTTTCAAGATCCTACTACGTAGATAAATGAAATAACGTCGGTATGCGTTGTTATTATTGTATGATTGTGGGACGCTTAATTATTTCTTTTTGTCATATTTCTACGATCTATTATTGTTTTTCTTTTCTTTATTTAATAAGAAGTTAGTTTTACTTTGTTATCTATTTCAAAGAACATAAAGTAATAAGAAAAAATATGCCAATTGATAAATCTATTCTATTCGAGTTCAGTTATAATAGATGGGTTCAATATATGACATTATAGTGTTAGCGTAAGTTGTTTTTTCCTCACTGGTCTTCATTCTTTTTGTTACTTACAGTGCATCCATACTATTGACAAAAGCAGATGAAAAATTGTCTACTCGTTCATTGGCTTTTCTCTATTTCTACTTGGTTGTACTTCAATGATTCTGTCGGTAGTACGAACTTATTCTGTAATCAATAGTGCGTTAAGCAGCATATCCAAATCAGTACGAATATAAAATACAGATGCATACACACAACCTAGAAGAATAAATGTTTAAATGCGAGAAGAAAGAGAGATGATAAAAAAAATAAAAGAGTTAGTGAAAAAAATAGCAAAACTATGCTTAATTTATGACATCGATAATGATAATGATGATGTTTTTAATGTTGTCTTTGTTCCCGTTAATTAGTTGAACACAATTCGCTTCCCTGGTGTGTTCTACACTCTGTTGCTTGTTTCTTGAGCATTCTCTGCATGCTCTAACTTTATACACTCAACCTAATAGAGATGGCAAACGAAACCGAGACCACGCCTTATCCGACAAAGCACAGCAAAAAAAGAAAACAAAAGGAAGCTGCAAACATGATTTTAAGCGTGCACCTTCTCTTTCTCTGCACGTGTCTTGTCGCGAATACGACTTCCCGGGTCTCATTTTCTTTCTAGCCTTTGGACCAACAGTAACATCGCCTGATTAAAGGATAGAAATCTTATTGTGCCTAATCTTGAATAACAAGAGTTGAAAGAAAAAAAAGATAGACAGATAGTCAGGCAATTAGACAAGCATCAATACACAAGCCAATAATGGATTTCTATATAGTCAGTTGTGAGTGTATTTATTCCCAATATTGCTAATCGCTCTACTAACATGAAGCATCATAGCTAAATAATTACTTTTGAGCATTGCACTACGGGGTAAGTTAATCTGGCCAAGTGGAATAAATCGATTTACAGAAATGTATCAGTATTTGTTGCTCAATAGAAATTAATGTAATTTATAAATATTAAATAGATCGTGCTTTTATATAGGTAGTATAAAACGAAAATTTAATCAGTGTTTATTCATGAACTTAATCTACAATAACTAGAAATACGGAAGTTGATCAACATCAATTTCTGTTTGTGTAAAAACAACACTGCTTTTGTCTAATCTTGTTCTAATATTTTGTTGAGAATAACCTGTTTATAATGAATGTTGACTTAATAGAAAGTGATAGAAAGATCCCATTTTTAATGCTGTTCAACTCGACGTTGGAACTTTATTTTTTATTTTCTTATTATATAGAAACAATCATCGTTAATAAAAATATGATTTTCTATGAAATATAAAATCGTTGTTGTTGAAATAAGAAGTATAATGAACTCTAATATTGAAATTTGTCTTTAATCTGTCTCTTAAAAAAATGAAAAAGAAAATATTTTCATTAATTGTAATCAAAGAACAGTTCATCTCACTAATCACTTTTGTCATAGTTGACACTCCAATTATGTGACGAAAAGTTTCAACTGAATATTAAAAACCTTTGTATTGATGGAATTATTTTTGTATAAGTCAAAATGCATACAAGAGATTCCTTTTTTTTGTCATAATTTCTATTATTAATGTAATAAAAATCAAAAAAAGTAAACATATTTTTGTTGATAGCAAACAAAAAATTGATTCAAAATCAAAGCAAATCAAATGTAGATTATTCTTGTTTGTTTTGTTTAAAGTTTACTGAAATATAATGTTTCATAAGTTTATACTCCACTTCGTTTTTTTTCTAATAGGTTATGATATTCTATGAACAAACAATTGATGAACTTTTATATTTATCAGGTCATATTTTTAATCTCATCCAAAAATTAATCATATTCAATCTGTTCCTATAGTGCGAAGATCATATACTGATAGATAGATTAATAAATAGATCGAATCTATCTTTACTCTTGTGTCAATTTGCTTTTATAAAAATAGTTATAAACTACTTCGTTAGCTTACTGAATGTTGCTTAGGAAATTCTATGATTAATGATTTAAATTCAGGATTAAATCTAATTACTCTTTCTCTTTTTTAAATAAATCCTTTAATATGCGCTTAGGCATGAAAAATGTTTCTGCTATTGATATACATCAAGTGTGCTATCTGTTTTTTGGATAGTTTTTAACATGTCATTGCCTAGACATCTGCATTTAATTAGGATAAACCTTTAGATACTGCACAAATGTTAAAAAGTAATGAAAAAGTGCTTGAAAGTTATAAGATACCCTTCATTATTATTTAATGAGAAAAGTTATACATAGACACAAGACCTTTTTGATATTTTTTTGTTTTTCTGTTTTTCTACTCGTGGCACGAAAATGTGAAGAAATATAAAGAAAAGAAATGATAATAATATAAAAGCTCATAAATCTATCATTCATTCTTAGAGACGACATTGTTCGCTACAGCAGCATTTTATGTGAAAAAATATGTTTGTTCGACGTATGTTTTATTAGCGGAATCAATAAAATAGAAAAGTATTATGCAAAATTGATCAAGACATGTTTCTTGCGTCTGTCTATCTATCTATCTATCTTTTCTATCTAGTTTATAAGCCTACACCAATCGTAATATGAGTAAGCAACTGGTCTAGTTGTGCACAAAATGAGAGAGAGAGAAAGTGAGAAAAAGAAGACGAAACTTTTCTAGTAATGGTTAAAAACATCTAAATTAGATTATTATCGACTGTTAGAAGTGTAAAGACGAGCGAAAAAAGGACAGAATAAAAGCAAATCACTAAAATGTATTGCAACATATTTTCATGTGCCAAATATAGGCGGCGAGTAATTTATTTCGATTAGATATTTATTGTGTTAGCTGATCTACGAATACGGCATACATTTGTAGTTAGCATAAAATGAATATATGCGCGCTTGAAGTATATAATTCAGTAAGAATATACAATCAATTACTTATTGACACCAAAAAAAAATGAACCCGTATTTTTTTCTATCATTTTTTCTTTGTTTTTAATATATTTACTGAACAATAATTAAAAACTAGAGCATTACTGGTTTGAAACAGCATATTGTATTCTATAGAGAAGAATGAGCGTCATTCATTTTTTTCTTTTTTGTTGTATTACAATATATATATTTATATATTCCATAGAACATTTTACATTTCTATCTATGCAATGTCATCTATTCTATTCTCTTGCTTCAAAATAATATTCTAAAAAGAGATAGTATAATTAAGATTCGGTTTGTTGTTAAACAAAAGACAACAAGCCGAAATGACGAATGAAACCGTTCAAAAAGACACAAAGTTTGTGTTTATCAAAACTAATTCAACTCAATCACATTACACAATTATGAAAGGTTTCCATTTCTTTTCTAGCGTAAAAATATATTATTCTGATAACGGTTAACGTGTTTGCCTATTTTCGTGTTCTCTTTACCGTTCGCATAGAATTTCTGCTTGAGTTTAGCATACTAAAAAAAGAGAGACAGAGAGCGACACAGATAGAAATAAGGGGGAAAGGAATATATCTATCTATATATATTTCTTTTTTTTTATTCTAACTAACTCCCATGAGATAAGTTTGCCTGTAGAAATTTTCATTGCATAGGATTGAGGCTCATTCTTCTGATGTTTAAGTGTACAGAACAACAAAAAAAAATAGAAGTCAATCAGCCTTGTCAAAAGTTATACTATTACTAGGGCGATGGAAAAATGAATATTTATTAAAGAAAAGAGAAAATTCTTCAATAACAACGAAAAATTTCCACGTTTTTTCTCCTACTTCAAAATGTACTCTCCTAAAAGATTATTTTTAATAAAAGTAAAAGAATAAATAAGACGACAATACTAGAATTCGTCTTTTTCTTATATTTTAGATTGAAATTATGATTATCTAAGTTATCATAATCATGGATAATATTAATATTAACAATAGTGCTACTATGAATAATAGTAATAGTAGTAACAATGGAAGCAATATGGTTGTTTATGTATGTATTCATTTTATAATGCCATGTGCTGTTGCAATTGGAATTATTGGAAATCTTTTATCGATCTTAGTGTTTGCACAACGTGAAATGATTAAATTTTGTGTGTCTATATTCACAATTGTTCTCGCACTTAGTGATATTCTTTTGTTGATCACTTCATTATTTAACATAATATTGCCGGATTTTTTTGGTGGATTGTTGTCAGATGGATCGGCATTTTGGTGGTAAAAATTTTCTTTTCTTTTCTTTGTTTTTTTTCAACATTTAATAGAAGAACGAGAAAATATGGAGAACTCTTAATTCAATGAGATTGATAGACAACGAAGAAGAAGATGGAAATATTAGATTGGAAAAAAAAAGAAAGACTACCTTTCAATGAATTATGTTCTAAAGTAGTAGTGACAGAAAAAAAGAAAAAATTGACCTGCAATCTCTAGATGAAAATGATGTTGGGTTAGAACACGCAATGAGATTACGGAAGGAAGAAAATATAATGATAATCTTAATTGCTAGATAGTTTTTAAGTTCGTCTGACACAAAACAAAAATAGGAACATTACTCAAACAATATGAGTTTTAATTAATCTATATTATATTAATTTAATTTAATTTTAGCCATTTTCATGGTTATTTTGATCTATTATTCGCTGCGTTAAGTGGTTATTCAGTTGTATTCATATCCGTTGAACGTTGGTTTTCAGTATGGAAACCATTTGATAAAGCAAAATATGTTACATTTAAAACAACAATAATCACCGTTATTAGCTATACATCAATATCAATGGTTGCATTTTCATGGTTTCCATGGACATTAAATTATAGTCCGAAAAAATCTGGATCCGGCGATCGATGTAATCTAGTACTATTTACTGTATATAAAGTATTTGGAACAATTTCAGTTATATTTACCTATATCGGTAAATGATATGTTTGTTATTTTGTTTATTATTTTAATTTAGTTTCAATTTTTAGTACCATTCATTTTTCTTGGTATACTTAATACTCTTATAGTCTATCGTTTACACACACGTCATCATACATCTCTACAACGTACATTACCAACATCAGGTAGTACCAATACTGAGAAAACATTAGCTACAGTATCAACACGTAACCGACAACGTCAGAGAAATACAGATCGAAATATAACATTCATGTTAATAGCGGTTGCTATTGCATTTATGGTTATGTCATTTCCATTTCAGTAAGATAAACAAAAGTTAATATATTTAAATTTTATACTTTTTTTTTCTTTTAATTCTCTGCAGAATCTATTGGTTTTACATGCAAATACGTCAATTGACAATCCCAAATCAAACTCTATTTACATTAACACAGACATGTCGATATTTAAATTGTTGTTGTAATTTTTTCCTTTACTCTGCTACATCATCGTTATTTCGTCGGGAATTACGTGAAATATTCAACTGTTCAGTAGCCCAAACTGCAAATGCAAAAGAACAAACAAACTTGCAAACAACTACTATAACTAGGACCCGCACTTCATCATACCCTTCATTCAATGCAAAATATATTGATAATTCAACAGTAGAAAGAAAAAGACTGTTAGTTACATCAGCATCCTCAAAAGTATCAACGAAGTCAATGGAAAATACCGATCTTTCAGTAGTATCAACTGGATTAACCAATGGTCATATGGTCTCGTTCGAAACATAAACTGCGTGGCTTTTTGTTCTGTTTGTTTGTTTCTGATACTTATTATTAATATTATTATTAGAAAATGAAAACATTTTGTGTGCTTGTTTACTTAACAATTATATGAGACGTGTTCAAAAAAGAAAAAATTATGAAAGAAAAGCGCAAATCAATATTTGATTTCAGTTACTGCCTGTAAACGGACGGACAAAACAGGATACATCTGACAGAAAAACTTGTCTATTGTTGCCATGCCAGAATAACTGATTTATCTTTTCGAAAAATTTCTTTTATGTAGTTGTTTGTGTATCATCATTCATTGCCTAAATAGATGAAAAAAAAAGTTGATTTTAATTAAATCGTATAGAAAAACAAATTTTAAATGTAAAAAAAAGAAAATATTTAATTGATTCTCTGTTTTCTACAACAATAACAAAAATAAGAACAACAAAAGCATAAGAATAATATTAGTTTTTTTGTTTTGAAATAAATAATAATCCGAATGACTAGATACGATACTCTTGATATTTGTTCATATAGTCACATTTCGCTTGCTTGGCATATTTGTCTAATAATTTATACCATTCATTAATAATAGATCTATCAGCATGAGCAAAATGAAAATTATGAATTGCATTTGAACCTTGCGGTTGTTCAACTGATACAACAAGTAAATGCTTATCTTGTTGAATATTAATACCTAATATTAAATGAAGTTGTATTTTTGTTATTAGCAAATGTTTATCTTTTGACATAATATTGAGAGTTTTATAATTATCAATTGCTGAAAGAGTAAGTGTACGTTGAGTATAGGATGGAAATTGTATAAATATACTTTCATACTGTTGATCTTTCATTTTATTAATTAAATAAGTTATTCGTTGAATTATATTTAAACATAGATTACGTTCATGATCAAAAATAATTGCTTCAACGAGAGAATTAAAAAGACAATAGAGACGTTCATAATGATTGAGACATAGTGTTTGATTAAATGAAGATGATGATTTATATGGTACAAAAGAATTTAAATAGATAATAAGAATCGATGATAATTTTGATGTTGAGTTTATACGATTAATGTGTTTTTCTTGTTCATCATACGGTTGAGATTTATCTTTTAATAAATAAAAATAATTCCATTCTTCAGCTAGAAGTAAGTGTAACCAAAATTTATATTTTTTCTCATAACGTTCATGATTATGATTGAAAAAATAGTTTGAAAAATTTCGGCGATTACCAAAACATGTTGATTTGGTGGATGATTTCGATGATTTAAGGATGACATTTGAACTAGTATCTGATAGAAAACTGGTATCAATATTATGATTTTCATAATGATGCAATGATGGATCGACTGTTTGTGAAATATTATCATATGTTCGTTGATCCTGAACATAAGAAATGTGAACCAAGAATTGAATATATAATTTTTCCAATGTCCCATTTGACCTTGTGTTTGCACGCAAGCAAAAAAAAGCAACGCACAAGCATCATAAAGGGATAAACAAATAATTAAGAAGTCAGCCAAGAAGAAAAAAGGCAACTTATCAATGACAAATCTTATACAACGTTAAATAAATTTGCAATCAAAGAAACATTAGTGGATTTCCTATTGACTTACTTCGAGTTCACGTAAAATTTGATCAATAAAATCTTCAGAATCACCCGATTGATAGGCAAGTGCAACACGAATAGCATCCCGAAAAAGTCGAACTACATTAGTACCATTAGCAGCCGAAACAAAGTACAGTGGCATATCGTGCTTTTTTGGGAATGAGAATGATTTTTTCGTTACTTCCATCGCGGAGTCAATTTTATTGACAGCACACAAGCATGGAATATGCGGACGAATATCTCGTAATTCAGTGTACCAACGATCTAGATTCTTGTATGTTACCTTTCGAGTAGCATCGAAGATCTATTGAATTTTTTTGAAGACAACAAATTACATTTCTGAATAAAATATAACAATAGATCATACCATTATACAAGCATGTGCTTGATGAAAATATGAATGATGAATATTGTCAAATTTTTCTTGACCAGCTACAATAGAACGGAAGTTTGTTTTTTGCTTAAGTCAAACCATCCTATTTTTATACAATACCTGTATCCCAAAATTCAACTTCGATTGGTTTTCCATCTATTTTTGCAGTATGTTTAAAAATATTGACAGCATATGTTGAATATCGTGCTCCGACACTAGATAGATAAAAAAAAAGAAGAATTTTATTCAAATTGAGCAATATCTCAATGCGAGAAGATAACTTACTAAGCATTAACAAGAAAGCGTTCTAATAATTTTGATTTGCCAACAGCACTGTCACCAAGTACGATGATCTTAAGAGAATTCTGATTGTTTGTACCGCTGCTACTCGAAGTGGATGCTAACGATAAAGGTTCACTCATCTAGAAAGTATCGTATTCAGCAACATTAGGCAAGATTGAGCAAAATATTTGACAAAATGAATGTATCAGTTCACTGAGTAAAAAGGTCTATGTTAACATGTAAAGTTCATGTTTAAAAAAAGAAATGAATAGAAACGAAATATATTTCAATAAATTTAAATTAAATTTTACTATAGACGTTAAGAAAAAGATTTTCTTTAGAAAAGAATTCTAGAAAACTTTAATGGCTACCAATAGGAATTTTAATATACAACTGAGTATTAAATAAAATTTGAAAATAAAAGTTTCTCCATATTCAAGCTTTATTCTCTTCACCAATGATTCCGTGCCATAGATGACGTTAGTCTGTTTTGCAGTTGCTTTGATCTATCTACAAATTGTTATTTTTAATTTTTTTAATTTATGTTTCCACCATCTTTTTTCTATTAATAAAGTCAAAAGAAAATTTTCCTTTCAATTTTCTCTATTTTTATTGGTTTTTAAAAACCTTGTTTTTTGAACATACTGTGTAGTTATGTGTTGATTGTCAGTTCTTTCGTTCTTTTCTTGGTGGGTTCTGGAGAACGAGAATAAAAACAGAAAAACAATAATCAGTAGCGTAATTGTCTGACGGAGGGCAACAAATTAAATACTATTCGACCTCAAATTGTTCAAAACGCCATCTTCGTTTTCTATATCTTTCATTGAAATATCGATATAACTTATTTTTTATTCTAATCCAGAATTGATTATGTTTTGATCATTATCATTTAAATCCCGCAAACATGGATGATTCAAATCAAGCAAATGTTGAAATTGATCGTAAGATTCTCATTTAAATTTTTTTCTCACACTCGCTCTGTAATATAATTTACTTTTTTTCTTCAATGATAGAACAAGAAGAATTTCGTCAAAAACTATTATGGAATGTGAAACGCGAAGTTTGTGTATAAACGTATGAAATTTTAAATAATTAATTATCATTCATAGGTAAAACAAATGATGGAAGAAGCTGTCATGAAAAAGTGTATTTATGAAGAAAATTGTAGTGTAACAACACTTTGTGGTCTGTAAAATTAACTAATTTTAGGTTAATTATGGAAAAATATTTTTGTTCATATTAGCTGCTGTTGAAGCATGTCTTCTACATGGTCTCAAACGGCGAGCTGTAGGTCTATTTAAAACAACTACAACAATGGCACTTTTACAAAAACTTGCTAAAACTTGTCCAGCAGCTGACGAAGTTGTCAAAATAATTAATGATGATAATCTGCAATATGAAGAGCCAAGTAGTTTAGTTGTTTTGTCTAGGTAAGAAAAATTCGTATCATAGATAAATCAGTTAGTTTTATTCATTTATTTCAAAATTAGAAAATTATCAAGTATAACACAACATCAAATATCATCCAATGTGGATAATACTCGACGTCGAACAACTCGTTCAGCAATATTTACTCGATATTTATGGATACGTGCAGCACTTATACATCGAACACTACATAAAATTGTTGAATATATTGTGGGCAATAGTTCGTATGTATTCTGGAAGCTCGTTTATTTTGCTTTTGTATTCTCCAATTTTATTTTTTTTTGCTAGAAAATATTATGAACCGCATGCATTAGTTTGTAATTCAGTACAAGGACCTATTTTAGCTTCACTTCTTGGTAGATACTAAAAAAATAGGAGAGCGAAGCAACAAACTATTCTACATTTTTTTGTATAGTTGGCGTGTGTGCCCTTGAATTTACACGAGTGAAAACATCTGATCATTTATGGACAGATCCACATGCTGATGAACTTGTTCAACGTCATCGTATGCACAGTAATAATCGGACAATGACGAATCCAGCGACACTGATGATGAATATGAATCACACCTATTTTTCAAAACATCGACCAAGTCTACAAGTAAATGTATTAAAATTTATTTTTAGCCCTTTTCTTCTTTTTCTAACAATAAAGAATGGATGTTTAGTTAAAACGGCATGCAAGTATATCAAGCGATGATGCTCAACGTCATAATCAATTAATACCAACAAATTCTGCTCGAGACTATGTGGAATCACTCCATCAAAATGCGAAATCACAATTAATTTATGGAAAAAATAATGTTTTCGTGCAGCCGGTAAGATAGAAATGAATTCTTTTTCTTTCAATTGCAAACAAAAGCATTCTCCTTTTTTGATTTTGTACATTAGGTTCCTAGTCAGGAACCCATACCTGGTTATTTATCGTTACATCTTACTCATCATGGTTTGATATTAAAATGGACACCAAACCAACTCATGAATGGTTATAATGAAAATACAAAATCAAATTCAGAAGGAATAAATGAATGTGAAACAAATAGTGCAATAGAATCTTCGAAAAAACATAGGTTTGATCAAATGTTCGATAAATATTTTTATTTTATCAATTTTTCCTTTAGTGTTTATTGGGATTATGCAGTATCACTACATATGTCTTCAATTGTTTATCTCCATTGTCATCTTTACGGTATACAATACATAAATATATGTTTTAGATCTTGTAAAAATATTCTTTATTTTAAGTTGATGGTGATCGTATTGTATTTGTTGGTCGTGATGGTGTTCAATATCCTCCATTTCATATAAAAGACAGAGGTGGACATTTATTAGCATTTCTTACTTGTCTAGAAAGTGGTCTTGCGTCTGATGGTCAACTTGATCCTCCATTAGCATATGAAAAAGGGCAAGGTAAGTTTTTGAAAAAACTTCTGCTGGAAAGAAAAACAAGAAAAGTTGACGTACCGAATTATACTTTATATTTAATACGGTTACATTTTAGGAAAAGTTCTACCGAAATTACATCATCATACAGAACGTCCACAACCTACAATATCCTTGAGTTCCAATGATGATGATACTGTTGAACTAATGCATACAGATACAACCGATGAAGACACATCATCACCAACTGGCGATTACGTTTTCCGAATTATTTTCTTTACCAATCGTTAGTGATCTATATTGTATAGTATATCGCTAATTGTATTCGTATGCTTTATGTGTATGAGGCTTGTTCTCACAAGGTATTTTAATCAGAATATTTTTAACTCCTTGATTGTAACCTATTTATGTTATAAATTTGTTCTGTTGTTCGTATTTATGATCATGTTTTCATCCGTACTTTTTCATGTCTAGAAGAAACAGTAAACAACAATGAAAATAGTCGACAGCAATGGTCACCAGGAGCTAGTGATTCTTCATCGCAGTCTTCGCAATCATCACTATCGCCATCAGCAAAATTAACAAGCGTCAGTGCTCCATTACCAGCTTCGCCTATAGATGCAACATTTGCTACATCGCCTGTTTATGTTTCACCAACAACTGGTTTTCACAGGAGTATTTCAGTCAGGTAACCGAATGCTATGAAAAATCAAATTTTCATATTGAAATAATTCTTTATTAATCAATTGGTAAAGCTAATAATTCTAATTGAGTGTTGCGCCTTCGGACTCTTGCATTAGAAAGAACTAACCAACACTGTAATTAACCAGATTATAGTAATTACCTAAAACATTTATATTTCTCGAAAAACAACGGGAAGCCTAGTTCAGATGAATACTTATTTTCGTCTGTTCAATAGATGTTGCTTGGCATGATTTTGCGTGGATCTTCCTGAGTCAACTTCAAAAAGGCTCTCTACACTTACAAAAAGAACGGAATAATATTGTAGAATTATCACCTGAAACTTTCTTCCAGGTGCTTCACGTTGAGTTTGAGGAAGGAAGAGAAAACTCTAGGAAAGACACAAGTGAGGAAACACATCTTCTCGATAGTTCTTGAGGCCGAGCGCTACCATTTCTGTTTCACAACGACCTTCAAATATTGCCGAAACATCTATTTGCAGTGGGCTTTGAACTCAACGTGCCATATAAGTTAAAACGAAGCGGCATAAAAATTTTTTGCTGTTGCTATTTCCCTTTCGATCATGGATACTGCATAATAATAACAATAAATCGATATTTAAATCTAGCTTATATTATGTCCCTTGTTTCAGTTACTCAAATACTTTTCAATCTTGTCATAGAATATTCAATGTCTAACTATTTGTTTCGAGAAAAGAATAATCTTCAAAGAGAGTTCACATAATAACAATCAAGTTATCCGACAATAGTTGATTCAGGTATATTTACAAATAAGATAGTATGTTTCTATGATATAATTATCACTCTATATTAGAGATAAGTTAAATTCTTTTTTTGTTTTTGAAAATGGACTATAAGAAAATTTTTTCGCTGTTTCAATTGTATAAAATTTCTTAATTATTTTCAAATAAAATTCTATCAGGTCATCAATGGCTTCGTTATGTAATACGATGCGTCGGCAAATATTATCGCGTGCATTTTATGGTTGGTTTGCATATTGCCGTCACTTGAAAACTGTTCGAATACATTTAACATCACTTGTCAATCCAGTATTAAAAATAGAAAATAATGAAGAATTAGCGTCAAATTTTTCTCTAACATCCTTTGATTGGACTGAATTATTTCTTAATAAACAACAAGAAAATTTACCAATTGATAAAAAGGAAATCTATCGTAGAATTTATTCGGGAGGCTGTGAACCATCAATACGAAAACAAGTAACGTTTAGAAAATGTAAAGCTTTCTTTTTCACTTCTTTCTTTTTCTGTTGTTGCTGAAAGGTTTGGCCATATCTTTTTTCACATTATCCATTTGAATCAACGATTGAAGATCGAAATAAAATTGATCACACTACGATTGAACGATATCATCAATTAACAAATGAATGGCACAGTGCAGAAGAGATTGTTATGCAAATTGAACTTCAAAATTCAAACAATCGTAAAAATACTCTAGCAAAACTATTGAACTTTACTTCTGAAACGACTCATAATGTAACTGAAAGCACGTTAACATCAATAAAACATGTTCTTGCCAGTATACCAGAAAAAATGTCATTTGCACATCAGAATGCTCTTGAAAGAAAAGATTCCAATCTATCGAATGATGTTTTCTTTGAAGTAAATCATTTTTAAAAAGACTATTTCGTATTTTTATATTCATTTTCTTTAGGATTGTGCTGTACACACTGTTGCTATACCGATTATAGAAGAGACCAGCCCAGATAGAACATCAACTGATGACAATCGTTTACTATCAAGTTCATCGAATAAATCTGTAATGATTGCTCGTACACGTACGGAATCTGTTATTGATCGTTCATCACCTTATAATATTATTGACACAAGTACAGATGCGGATGAGGATGAAGGAGATGATACTCACATGAAACCCATTGATCATGATGAAATATTGATAAACGAACAAGATAATGAAGTTGATCAAAAACTTCTCGATAATCATTTATCGCCATCATCTAGCTTAACGTCTGGCACTGATGTTTATATGGATGCTGTAGAAATTTTAAGTGACGAACAGCCGAATAATGGATCAGGTAAAAAGCATTTTCGCTTAGATTCAGTGAAGTTTCTAGTTTTTGATCTAGATGGTTCATTGACACCAATTTGCTATGGATCATTTACAAAGGAAACTATTGATGCTTTCTCAGTGAATTTACATCGAATTGATAAAGATGTTGCAAGATGTGATCGAACTTATACATATTTTACAAATATGAATAATTTAAAAAAATTAAGAAATATTATGTGCACGTAAGTGGCTTAGAAATTCCTTTGGAAAATCTTAGAAAATGATATTTCCATGAATTTGATGTTTCCTGTTGTATTTAAGTTAAAATTCAACAATTAAAATACTATAGACGTTGACATAAAAAAAAGTAACCTTAATTTCATAAGCATGATACGTATTAGAAATAATTAATACTATTGATTTTGCAACAGCATTTGCGATTAAAAGAACATTTGTTCTATTTATGGAATATCACGTTTAGCTAAAAATATCTATTTTTGCTTTTAATTAAAATCTTGAGCACATGAACTCTGAGTAGCATTGTCATAGTTAGCATACTTATAGAATTTTTAAATATTATCTTATTCTCAACAGTGTGCCAATAATTAATTTCATTATGTAAAGTACTAGTATCAACTTTATTTGTAATCTTAATGTGACACGTGCACTAGACGATTTACAAAACAAAGTAACTGAAAAAGCAAAATATAGACACTGTTACATCCCTAGTTGACATTGAAACTTAAACTATGAACAAATCAATTCCTATATATCTACACGAACATAATCCTATATTAAAAGTAAAGAGCTATCTGTAATGATTTTTTGTTTGATAAATGCTTTGTATTGCAGAATAAATATTTTTATCATTCGATTCGTCTTTTTTTTTAATACAGATATGTATGGGATAATTTAACAACCGGTTATATTCAAGGAATGTGTGATCTTGTAGCACCGTTACTTGTCGTTTTTGATGAAGGTGAATAGAAACATTACTTAATAAAATGTATATAATCGTTTTTTTGTTTGTATATTGAATGTTTAGAAGTGATAGCATACAGTTGTTTTTGCTATTTAATGAAACGTCTTTTACCAAACTTTCCTCATGGAGCTGGTATGGATGAACATTTTGGCCATATGCGTTCATTATTACAAATTTTGGATTTTGAACTTTATGAGCACATTCATCGTACAGGAGATTTTACTCACTTCTACTTTTGTTATCGATGGTTTTTATTAGATTTTAAACGAGGTAAATCATTCTATTTTGTGAATCAATAATTATTTTTGTTTTGTTTTGTTTTATAGAATTTATTTATGAGGATATTTTTTTGGTATGGGAAACAATAGCTGCTGCTCGACGAACAGTATCGAAAAGATTTGTTTTATTTATTGCATTAGCGATGTTAAAAGCTTATCGAGAAATAATACTAGATAATCGAATGGATTTTACAGATATTATTAGATTTTTTAATGGTATGCTTATAAATTTTCCGCCAATTTTCTTTTCCATTGAACTTCTTTCTTTTTTTGTTCTTCTTTAGAAATGGCTGAACGCCATGACACTCGAGAGATCTTACGGGCGGCAAGAGAATTAGTACTTGAATTACAACAATTAGTTGATAATAAATAAGAATAAAAACTAAAAAATGTGAAAATATTAATGTTTTATTTTTTGCCGTTGTGGTATGCCGTTAGTTGTTTTCCCCTATTATTTAAAGAAATCATTTAATATTCACAAGTATATCTATTGATCTTTGTTATTTTTTGACGTTGTTCGTATTTAGTCATGCATTTATCTCACAGATATATATATTTATATGTATAATGTGCAATTATTCCAGTGGTTCTTTTCGTTGTGACCTGAGGAAATATTTATTTTATGTTGTTTTATTTATCGTTGCTGTTTTAAAAAATAAATATGTCACGCATTTACTTGCAAATAATGCAAAGTATTTCCGTGAAATAGTGATTCCCTGTTTCATCTATGTCTGCATAACAGATACGTATATTTAAAAAAGAAAACAATTTTCGCATCACGATACCAACTTTTGATTGTGGATCTATTCGGATTGTTCAGTTTGAATCAGATCGCATCTGATAGATCAATATTGAGTATTAAGTCAAATCTCATATTATTTGAAAATGAAAAATAAGGTTTTCATGAGGTCAACTTTTTATTTCAAAAATTTCTGTATGAGTAACAGATAAAATAATGAATAAAATTATCCGTAGCATATCATTATGTGTAAGTCTATCGGTATTTTGCAACAGACGTAGCCTTTATTATAGAATGCTTCCGTAGCCAAGTGAAGGAAGAACTTTTGATCTCGACATAGTAATGTTTCTTGGTAATAAGAAGCGATAATAAATACTATAGATGAACTCTAATTGTAATTTGAGTTACTTATCGTTATCAAATAAAAATTGTAAGTGTGGCCGATTGATTTAATCGAAAGATATTCAATTTTCTTTGCAAAGTAAACTCTAAGCACACACCTTATCGGCTCTTTCTGAACGCGAGACGCATATATAGATGTTCTTTATTTCGAGACAGCTCAAATCTATGATTGGATATTACCTCTGGCTGATTTATTCTTTCATAAGAATAATATAAATGTGAGTCGTGTCTATTTTTTAAAAGAACAATGATGGTGATTGAATACGATATGGATTCATTTTTACTTATTTCATTACTGATTACTATAATGGGCAAAAAATGATTCACTCCTTCGAGGGTTTTCTATATTGTAGAAATATGATCCATTAGATTTCATAATCGATATGTACAAATAAGCATAAATAAAATTCGATTTCACTTTTTAAGGTAGTATATATATATATAAAACAAATATTATTATTGCTTAATACAATTCAACTAAAAACAAACCGATACAAATCACTTTTTATTTTTCGATTTTACTAAATTGTTCGGTCCTGTTTGAACAATTTCTCTTGAAATAAATTTTTCTTGTTCTAATTTAACAGCTAATTTATTGATTTTATTTGTTGCATGCTCTTCTTGTTTTGATAAACGTTTTTCTAATTGTTTTAATTCATTTGTTTTGGTATCCAGTGCTTGACGTTGTGCTACATATGTTTGTTCCATGGCAAGCGTTTTAGCGTATAGTTCAGAATTTTTACGAATTTCATCCACCGTTGTACGACGAATATGTTGTAAGGATTTTTCAAATTCAGCACGTTCGCAATCAATCTTTGAACAAGCTGCATTCAATACTTCATAAGTCGATGTTAATTTTGCACGAGCATCATCGAGTTCTGTTTGCAGTTGATTAACAACTGTATTTGCAAGATCTAGTTGATTTTGTAAATCATTCGAATGAGCTACAGATATATCGAGTTGATTTTGTAGGTCAGTGGCGTTATTTTGAGAGTCTTCAAGTTCACTAGCAAGTGCATCATATTCATTTCGAGGTACATGTGTTCGTATTAATGAATCACGCAGAGATTCTATTGTAGCACGTTGGGATGCTATTACAGAATGAAGCTGAGAATGTATAAATAATGATGTACTGTCGTCCTAAAAGCATGCGTTGAAACAAAACAGATAAACTATTGCGTAAAAAAACTAACTCGCTGGGTGAATCTGACAAAAAACAAAAAACGAGCAATCAATCTATAATATCAGAAAGGTACCCAAAAAGGAAGCTACTTGTGTTATCAGTTGAATAACATATTCGACGGAGAAATCACTTGATTAATTAGTTAATATCTATCGCAAATGAATTTCAATAAAAGCCGATTAATCTATCTAATTTGCAATAATACTTTCATCGCTAATTCTTTAGAAATAATTGATGACCGATCCGGAGTTTTAGTAGATAAGGTAATCCTAATGGCAAGCTATATTTTCATGTCACATTAACGATCATGTTGATTGATCTGTCTGCATTTTATACTGAAAATATAGTATACTCATTGAATTTGTTTAATATTAGATAATTCTACCTGTCGAAAAGGATAAATTTGTTCATACGGAGGGATTAATATTTCAAGAAGATTTATTTTCTCGTTCTCTCTCTCTCTCTGTATCCATGGAATCATCCTTTATTTTGTACAATTTTGATTTCTGAAGAATTTTCTATATCAATTTAATGAAAATTTAACGAAATTCTTGAATGTAATCTCTTAGAATCAAAGTTATTTTTATAATTCAAATTAAACTAACCTTTATTTCTTCCATTTAAGTTCAATTTTATTTTTACTAGTATTTTTGAAAGAACAGAAAAAGACAACATCTAAACAAAGTACAATGACCTCTATAGGAATTACATGTTTCGTTATTGATTAGCGCTTAATGTTAAACAATTTGATCAATAAGAAAAAATGTTTTACAAAAATTCGTTAGATATGGAATGATCAATTTTTCTTTTTATTTCTTCACTTGAATAATGAGATTATCTTGAATGTATTTTTCCTGTTGCTTATTTATGTAAAGTCGCCGATATTTAAGCATCATCGTATTAAGATCTTGTGTTTTATCATGTAGTTCTCGTTTAAAATATTTTTCTTTTTGTTCAATTTGTAATTTTTCAACATATAAATTCATATTTTTTTCCAATTCAACTTTTATTGTTTGTTTTAAATCAAGAATTAATTTTTCAAGTAAAGTCCGTTCCTTTGTCGAGTGTTCATCAAGTATTGAAAGTGCTTCATAAATTGCTGTGCATTTACTATAAGCATCTTTTAATTGTCGACGTAGAGAATCACACTCAGCCATAGCAAGTTCATATTTCAGGTCAGTGGTCATTTTATGAGTCTATTGTTTCCAAGTATTTCTCCCCATGTGTTACGCTAAGCCGATTTATCTATCATCGATAATTAACGTTCTTATCTTACTGAAAGAACACGTAGAATAAATAGAATTGTATTTCGCACATTTTTTTTCTTCTTCTACTTTCGATTTTCTGAAAGATTATCGTCATAGTATTATCTGTATACTATGTAGTTTAGTTACTTTGAAATAAATTGAATTTGAGCGTTTTGTATGAGTATTTTCTGTAAAGAAAACTGATATAAAGATATACGTAAGCTTATCTTGTTTTATGAGTTCACAGATTGATCGCTAGGACGATCGAAAAGCGACTATAAAAAAGAGTTATTACTATTAGAAGTTTTATTGAATATTACTTTAATATGATATACTATTTGATACGGCGGCATTCGTTTCCTGTACAAGACGCTAACATCGCTTTTGACATTCCAGAACGTCTGTTGAATTTTTAAAGTTTTCTAAAACGCCAATGATCATTGGCATTATTGTGTATATTAAAGTTTTTTTTATTAATAACCAAAGGTTTATTATCCGAGAGAATAAATAGCGTATTTGTTAAGAATACAAAACAAAAGGAGCAGTAATAAATATAGAATGTATATGAAGAGCATTAGCCTAATCTAAAATTAAATTAGAATTGATATTAAATGCTGATAATAATTTTATTAAGCTTTATATCTATCACGGATAAAGATAATTCTAAATGATGTTTCATGACAGCGATAATAATCTCTTGAATATTAATAATTTACCAGTCAAAGGCTTTCATGTTATTCTTCGTTTTTAGAAAAGGATGAGCTAGAATTAATTTCTATTAGATATAAGATTGATAATCTAAACTATTATTGAATACGTTTATCGTGACAGATTCGCTCTATGGTATTTGTTAGTGTTCTTATTCGTACCATTCGCTTGATTTTCATGCAATTTTCTTTCTTTTATTTTTTAATAGTTGTAAATGAAGTTAGCATATTCGAAAGTTAGAATAAGACTTTTCTCATTTTTAGATCAAATTTAAAAAAATGACTAATAATGTTGAAATGAGTGAATCGATTCCTATGGACGAAGTTCGTATTGCTGTTTTTTTCTATTTTGAATGAATTCTTCTTTTAATTTTGCCCTTCTAGTCGTCAAATAAAATTCATCAACAAAAAGAAGACGACGATGATCATCGGCAATGTATTAGTGAATTACGTTCTATTTTTCTTCAAGTTCATCGTTGCCAACAAGAACCAGATAAAAATGTAAGTCTTCATGACGTTTTATCTTTTCTGAATCTTATTTATTTGAATGAGAAAAAAAAATATACGTCTCTTTTTCCTTGTCGGGAATAGTTTCTACAAGGAGTGAAAAGCATTTTATTTGTTTTTTTCATAAAATTGTACTGTATTATTTCCAACATCACTAACAATCATCGTATTTTGATCATTAGTAAAACATACGTAGTGTGGTGCTTTCATTCTATCACCACGAAAATGAATAACTTGTTGATTTCCATCACTCATAGCAAATATTTTCGATGTATAACGATCAGCAAGAATCAATTGATTTGAACTATCACAGATAATGCCTAAAATTTAAAATTCGATATCTTTACCGAAACGATTCTTTGTATTACCTTCTGGTACGCTTAAATTCAGATAAGATTGCGCATCTGTATCAATAAATCGTTGCGCATTACCATCTAATCCATAAACAATAATACATCCAGCATTATAAGCACATGATTCAGGTTTAACTCTTTGCCATGCTGTTACATAGAGTAAATTATTTGATATTGAAATATATTGCGGATCAAGTTTTTTTGAACCTATAATATAAAAATTATTGCAACAAAAAACAAATGTTCCATCTCACCTCGCATAATAATCCATTCATTTTCATATTTCATTTGATGATTAAATACAACCATACGTGAATTATACGAATCACATACATATATATAATTACTGTCTATAGCAACACCTTTTGGCCATGAAAATGACGTACGTGTACAACCTTCTTTTTTACTTCCCACAAAATTAATCATTTTCCCATGTAACCAATCATATTTTGAAACTCGATGACGATCTGTTATAATCACAAATTGTTCACCAGCTAAACAAAGTCCGTCAGGAAAAAGAAAACCTTTTAGACCACGCATTGTTCCTAAATTAAGATCATAAACAATAATTCGATGTTTTTTTGTATCAGCAATTAATAAATGATTGGAATCCGTTACAACAATAGCTTTCGGCGCAAGGAATTTATCCGTTTCATTGGGACCTGCTAAAACTTGTATTGCTTTTTTACTGTAGTCATTAAGTTGTACTGGAGATACAGGCATTCGTGGTGTTAATATTGTATTGTCTTCGATTTGCGATTGTTGTTCAAAACCACTTGATAACGATAGATTTGGTGGTTGATGTGAGCGAAGAACTTTTCTTGTAGTGTATTCATTTCCTTCTTGTTCTAAATGCTGATCATCAAGTCTTGAACGATTTCGAGATATCGACCCATCAGTTTTAGTATTAAATTTAACTGAAAAACCTGTACCACGATATCCTCCTTCAGGATCATTTTCATGGTAGGATGGTATTGATTGAGTTAAAAATGCATTAGGATGTCCTGTTGAATTTTGTTCTTTCATAATCAAACGTTTTCTTGTTAATGCCTTTGATTCACGTCCACTGACAATCTAAAACAAATGAAATATTGTTTTCTTTTATTAGTATTGCAAAGTTTTGCATTGTTCACTTGATTCGATCGGTAAATTCCATCATGATTATCAAACGGATCGATCAATAAAAGTTGTTGTCGTTGTAAACGATGCATTTGTAAATGTTCATTATCTTGATTTGCAGTTTTAAGATGAAGTTCACCGAGCATAGTATGATTTGTTGATGATGCATTAGATTTATAAATAAAATTAATTGATTGATCATCGAACTTCTGTTGTAAATCAAGCCAATGTTGAGTTAAATGTTGTCTATCTGATATAGTCCAATTTTTTGGATCAATTTTATCTAATTCTTTTGAATCTTTTTCAATATCAGAACTTAATTTTTGTAATTTAGTATTTTTTGTCAGCAAATAATTCTGATGAAGATCATCTAATTGATTGTATAAAGTTTGTTCTCGTTCTGAATCAGAAAATAAGTAATTACTCTAGAATGCATTGACATATTAAATAAAACTATTTTTCTACCTTGAATTTCTTTAATATGTTTTTCAGCATCCTTATGAATTAATTCACGAATATTTTCTTTAGATTGATCTAATTTATTATCCCATTGTGATAATTTTTCAGTTAAATTTTCACGTATTTTAACTAAGTCAGCATATTCTTTTGCTTGTTCATTAGCAAGAGTTTTCTCGTGTTCATCCATACAACTAAAACAAGCTAATGATCGACAGTGATAACATCGACCATAGGCTGTTTTTTTATTACATAATTCACAAATTCCTAGCTGTGCAAGACGATGATGTTCAGCTTTTTTTAATGTCAATAATGTGTGATTCTTGGTTAATTGTCCGACTTCTTGAATACTCGATAAACGACGTGCTTCATTACAAACAGGACATTTGAGAACACCATCGGCCGGTAAAGCATTCTATGTAGAGAAAAAGACATGATTTAATGCTGACAATTAAATTAATGCAATTTCTTAAAAGATTACTGTGATGCAATTATGACAAAACGTGTGTCCATTTGAACAAAGTATGCGTGGATCTTGAATGTCGTTTTTACATAATGGGCATCGAAGTAATGAGCTTGCATCCATAATACGAGTAATCGATTCAAAGTCATTGCCATCTTTTTGATAGGAATCAAACGAAGACATTTTTGTCGTGTACAAAATGATTTCATGTATGTCGAGAGAATTATTTAATGTTATTTTCATCGATATTTTCGTTGTCATGAGTGCACAGCAGGAAGATCTATTGAATTTTTAAATTGAATAGAACTTTTTCTTTTTGCAATTAAAATCTAGGAATATCTTTGTTTTTTTATTTTTCAATAGAAAGATGAATTGTCTCAACTGCATGCACGTGGTATGCATTTATGTAATAAACTGCGTTCGCTTAATCGAGTGGGTCGTACACGCATACAAAAAGCTCGAGAAATTACTGCTGAGGTTTTTTATTTGACTAATTTTTTCAAACATTTCCTAGATGTTGTGTTATGTTTTATTAGCATCGAAATCGTCTTGATGATCAAACACTCGAACAACAAAATCTTCTCTATGAACTTTCTCATATTAATAAAGAAATTGCACGCTGCGAAGAATTTCAGTAAGATATTTTTTTTGATTAAAATAAAACAAATTTCATTAATATCTTATTTAGATCAAAGGATCAACAATTGGAACTAGTGAGTTTAGAAGATTTTTATACAAATGCTCCACCGGAACTTACTGATTCAGTAAGATATAATATGTTTTGATTATAATCTAGAGGGAAAAAATGTTTTATTTTTTAGAAAATCACTGAGAATGATCCCCATCGACTTCATTTATTTCAACTTGATTGGGAATTGATGCAACGAGAAAAGTTAGTATCCTATTGTTTCCTTTTGTCTGTCTCAAGGAAACAGTATTGAATATATTGTTGTAGATTACATGATGATTGTAAAGGATTACAAGCTGAAATAAGCGATCTTAAAAAACAAATTGTTCGTCGAAGAAAACGACTTCGTTCGTTACGACCTAAACTTAAACAAGTCGTTAAAGTAAAAATTAGCTATCCGTTTATTTCTATTTTGAATAAGTAAAATAACAATAATAATTTTTTTGTTTCAATTTAAAGTCAACAGATCCTGTTCGTCGATATATTGAATCACAATTTGATGATACAAATAACTTTTCTCAATCGATCAATAATCCATCGATTGCTAAATTACCTGATCCACTCTATGTTCTCTATAGTCTTGTTTTGGCTTATCAACAATGTGATGGTACGTAAGAAAATTCTAACAGTATACATGTTTTGAGTAAAAACTATTATTCTATGAAATATTATCTAGAACAGATGTCAACTTATGCAAATCAAAGTCTGAGCCATTCTTTGTAGTAACTATTTATATAGAATCTGGAATGGAATATAAATGGTATCTGATTTAAAACGTATACGACTAAACTTCCTCATTCCATTAAGGAAGAATTACGGATAAGAAATGAGTTCCAACACAGATTCATTAAAGTAATCTTCTCACGATTGGTATGAGAATAGCTATATGATATATAATATTTCAAATGAAAAATATTTATCATGATAAATTTCTCTTTGTAAATTGAAATCTCTTGATTTTAGTCAATATCTTCTAAGTGTAAAAATTTCCCAGAAGATTTTTCATTGTGTCTCATTTCTATTCATTAATTTTTAATTGGCAAGGTCTCGCAAATGCGAATAACTTTAGTTTTCAAATATTTCTCAGGCTCAGAGCCTGAAAAATATGTATTAATTTAAACTTAAGTTATGAAAGAAATTATAATAACTAACGAACCTTTATTTACTTCTAGACGATCATTTTTTCGAAGGGAATTTTTCCAGTTTCTGAAAGCGTCATAAGCAATAATCCACTATTTCGTAGTTTCTCAACTATTTTTATTTTTCATCAAAGTTTATACGCTATTTTTTGAACTGTTTAAATCCTGTTGAATTTTTCTTAGTTAATCTTAACAATTTGCTAGAGAAAAAAAAATAGATAATCGTTAGATTCAAATTAAGTGTGAACAGCTTTCTATAGGAAAACAAAGTTTCAGTTTTATCGATATTCTTTTCCTCTGATGTTTCAATGTGCTTTTTCCACGGCGTCCATTTTTATACATTTAGTAATTACACATATCTTTGCAATTCATATAATTATAATTTTGTTGAAGTGCAATAAAAATTTTCTATACTATTTGCAAACTATTGTTCTGTTTCATGAAAGTTTCTTCGAGAATAAAAATTTCCAAGAATAAAGTATCATTCTACTCATAGGTCGTCATATAACATGTCAAATCGATTCAAAAGAGGATTCATCAACAACTAATGATACTAATTCGGATGGTATAAATACAAATAGTGATCAACAATATCAATTTTTATTACGTCCACATCCATTACATGTGAAAGTTACATTAATAATTTCTCGTAATTTTTTATCAATTGATACTCTGTTAGCTAACATGTTTTTTTAATTTTTATTTTAGCTGATCATACAGGAGAATTGACATTTTCATATTTATCTCAATTAAATATAGTTACTGTTCAAGGAAAATTATCAGGTCTCAAAGCCCAACAAAGGTATAGTAAAGAAAAACTAATGATTTAAAATATATCATAGAAAATTTCGCTAAAATATTTTAGTCAAACGTTAATATCAACATTTTTACATAATTTACTTGATGATAATGATAATGGTCAATTATCACCTAATCCAACAGCTGATTTTCTTTTTCAACAACTAGGGTAAGAAGAAAGCGATGACATAACAGCAAACAACTAAATTATATATTTAATCATTTCCTTCTTCCAGAAAATCAGCACCAATATTTTCTGATGCAATTGGTGGTTATCCATATCATTGGGTTCAGCAATTATGCAAATGTCAAATGGTCCCATTACAACGTCAAGAACTTGTAACGGACTGTTCAGAAATAATCAAGCGCTTAACACAACGTATGCGTGCACGCATTGCACTTGATCGAATACTTGTTAATTTAGAAAAACATGAAATGCCATTACTAGCTGAAGGTAACGAAACAACAAGTATTCTTAATTCATCATTACGTCGTTCAATAACTAATACGACCATATTACGTTCATGGCGCGAAATATCTTTCGACGATGTTAATAAATATCAACAAATACAAACACTAATTAATGAAAATTTAATTGATCGTATAACAACATCAATATACGAATGTAAATTTCAATCGTTATCCACAGATGATAATAATAAAATAACATTATATGCTCATATTTTTATGCCGGCAAATTATCCTCAAGCAAGATCAATCGTCTTATTAAAACTTTTATTACCAATCAATGGCAATAAGACAAATGAACGAACAAGAGCTAATAGTGAAAATATTAAAGTAAGAATTATCGATAGAAATTTTTTTTCATAATCTATAGAACCTTAATAAAAATAGGACAGATGAACGATATGTAGTCATTAATAAGCGAGAATAATTCTATCTTGCGATGTGATGAGTTACGTATTGGTTTCTCCCATTCAATGACTTGTGTTTCTTAGTACATAATCCTTAACCTTAAAAACACATGTATGGTAAAACGTTGCCTACATGATATCTGTTGGATGATTTGAGTCAAATGGCTGCGCGATTGACTTTTTCACAATCATTATTTAACTAATAGTACCGTGATGTGAACACACAACATAGAAGGAACATGCCGAATAACAGAGTTCTTTTTTAGTTACGAAGATTTGTTTGAGAACAAGAATCACTTATGTAAATTATTAGATCTAGCTCTAATTATCATTCGATCAAGTAAAAACTCAACTATTAGTCGTAAATATGTCAATAATAAGTAATGACTTCCTTCGAATAATATATATATATATATATTGTTTTGTGGTTAATTGGAAGGTCACTATAATTTTGTTTCGTTTTTGCTACTCTTCCACAATAATTTAAAAATTATATTTTGTTTTATTATTTATTGATTTATTAGTATTTATTTACATTTACAATTTTATTATTATTTTACAAACGTTTCGAAGGCGTCAGCTTTCTGCGTCAGTGTGTTTAAAACAGAACAAATAGAATAATGATGCGACGAGTGTGTGATGCTATATTTTTTTTCTTTTTCTTCTTCTTCTTCTTATGATACTGGTACGGAAGAATGAACAAGACGGTAAACTGGACGAGATAGGTTATATTGTATCTTCTTCCGTACCAGTATCATAAGAAGAAGAGGAAAAAGAAAAAACATATAGCATCACACACTTGTCGCATCATTATTCTATTTGTTCTGTTTTAAACACACTGACGCAGAAAGCTGACGCCTTCGAAACGTTTGTAAAATAATAAAAAAATTGTAAATGTAAATAAATACTAATAAATCAATGAATAATAAAACAAAAACAAAAAAAAATATATATATATATACATATATTAGTATTATTAATACTAATAGCAAAATAGTAAAATATTTGCTTGATAGAGTTGCATAGAACAATCATTATATTTCATGTAGATGCAATATGAATTTTACAGATCATCGAATAATCCATTATTTTTTATTATTATTCTAGATATTGGAACGATCGCTGTTGTCTGATATTATTAATGCGTCGGTAACACCAATCGGAAGTTCCAATGTTGATTTATCACAACATTTTACATTACTTGCTCAACAAATATGGCGTTTATACATTGGTTTTCCTTTATTAATTGATGCTGAATTAGATTTAGCGTGCTCGTATGTCATTGGTTTTTATTTAGTATTTGATTAGTTCGACGTTTTTATTTTTTAATAGGAGCCGTCGTCGACAAACATTATTATCACGACTTGTTGATTAATATGAACATTTTTGTATTCATTTACTTCGAAAATTCTTTTTTTCTTTGTTTCTGTGGAATAAAAATCAAGACAAAAATTGGCTGTTAATTAGCATCTTTGCTCTTCAGTTCTAGATATGAATATTCAATAGAAGTGGCGATGCCATTGTATTTAATGTGTCGTCGTATATTATTCAATATAAATCACCGTACTATACGTAGTCGGTGGTTTTTTATAACTATACTCCTTGTTACTATAATAATTGTTATTCTTCTTGCATATCGTTTATCAAATATTCCGCAAGAATGTTTACTAGAACAGAATTCATTTAGAAAACAAAATAATATAAATCACAACTCATCATTAGAAAGACCGGTCATATTTATTGGTGGAATGCCACGTAGTGGTACAACATTGATGCGTGCTATTCTTGATTCACATCCACTTGTTCGTTGTGGTGAAGAAACAAGAGTTATACCAAGAATATTGAATATGAGAGTAGCATGGGAAAAATCTAATCTAGAATGGAGTAGGTAAGTTAATTAATTTGATAGAAAAAAACGTTTTTAGAAATTATTAAACTTGTTGATTTATCATGTTTTGAATCAAATTGTTTTCACTCGCATAGTTAGATAGTTATAATCTTTTATGAGATATAATTATTATCCTATCGTTTGCTTTGCTTCATCTGATGATATGCCGAATTTGATAAATAAACATATATTTACTATTTATTTTACTAGACTTATGGCTGGTGGTATAAGCGAAGCAATGATTGATTCAGCTGTACGAGCATTTATTTATGAAATTCTTCTTAATCATAATCAATATGCTGATGTTCTTTGCGACAAAGATCCCTTTGTACTCAAATATGCAACATACATATCATCTATATTTTCTAATGCAAAATTTATTCTGCTAGTACGTGATGCACGCGCTGTCATACATTCTGTAATGACACGAAAAGTTACAATAACTGGCTTTAGTTTATTGGATTATAGACAAAATTTAAAAGTATGGAATAAAGGTATGGAAGCAATGATGGATCAGTGCACACAAGTTGGTAAAGATAAATGTTTACCTGTTTATTATGAACAATTAGTTTTACAACCGAAAAACGTTATCGAAAATATTTTGAAATTTTTAAACTTAACTTGGGTTGATAGCGTATTGCATCACGAAGAACTTATTGGAAAGAAAATATCTTTATCAAAGTAAGTTTAAATGAAGAGAAAATAAGAGCTGAAATTTTAGTTGTTTATCATAGAACTGAACATTCATCTGATCAAGTTATTAAACCGATTAATTTGGACGCATTAACAAGATGGATTGGTCACATTCCCAGTGATGTCAAAAGTGAAATAGATACATTAGCACCAATGCTCAAAAGACTAGGCTACGATACGCAATCCGATGTACCAACATATGGTACTCCTGATCAATTAGTACTTGATAATATGAATGAATTGAAAAAAAATGCAGAATTTTGGGATTCTAAAGCAAAATCTTACGCTCGTCAAGCACCTAACGATACACGTCTATTCCAAAATCATACGAAACATCAACCGATTCTTTAAAATTACAGCAATATCATATGTGCTCGCTGTTTATATAAGCTAAAGAAGAAAAAACATAATTTTACAGTACCTTTTACTTTTGTTTAACAAATTTCGCATTAGCCGTTTTTTCTCTTTGACTTTTTGTCGCAGCTTTTCCAGAAACGAAAGAGGTATGAATATTTTTTTTTCGTAGTAACATGTTATTATGTTGTTCTGTTTGTTTTTCGAGATACGTTATTTTAGTTATATCCATATAGTAGATAACAATTTTTTTTTATAATTACATCTATACTTGTGTTATTGCAATTGAAACTTTGCAAATTCATTTATACAAAGTTATTTTTGATTGGTGGTAGAAGAAAAATCTGATAAAAAGAAAGCTTCTAAATAGTATATGAAATTCGTCGATAAGGAAAGAATAAATATGCTTCTATTGAATTGTTTCTTCTTTATAGGACAATTTTTCGTATCCTTTATCATAGCAAAAATATTGAACTACTCTTCTTTTTTTTCTTTTAAACGAGTCATGATTAGGTGATTACTGATTAACTGTTGGGGTGGACCTTATCAATACTTCATTGATTTCTAGTTTTCTGAATCAACTTGCTTTATTTTTTGTTTTGTCTTCGATAAGAAAAGTGAAAATGTGATCCAGTGAGCACGTCGAATACTCTGCGAGCCTTTTCTTTGTCGGTACTTTTCGTGTATGAAACTTTTTTTCTCATTCTTTCATGTTTGTTTGTTTTTGTATGCATGTTTTCGTCATTTGCGCTTCATTAGCATTAATAGTCATTTGTAGCGATATTCCATAGTTTGCAATAGCCTATTTCTGATCGCGTTCATAATAACATGAATAAAATCATAATTTACTACTATAACATAACGACGATAATCGAACAATTCAAAGCGAGTATCATGTTCATCAAGTGCTGCAAAGACGTGCTACTCTTGGTCGAAATACTACAATAAAGTTTTGGTAACAAACTGAGACTAGGAATCCTATAACTGTCTACATCTGATCATGTTCGACTCGAATCGCATGTATTAGAGTTTGACCTTAGAACCGTTGCTTTGGATGTAATCAGTACTAATTTGCCGTAACTATGTTCATTGATTCTTTCACTGTTATTTTATGGATAGTTGAGAAACATGGGCTACAATTAGAAATCGACGGCATTGCTTATTGGTATCAGTGATAGATGAGTGTGCAAATTTTTGAATTCATAAAAATAATCATTCTAACTGCATGCATTACGTCTAATTTCTTGAGCATTCAGAACGACATATCTTCGATAAGTAAATTCATAATTTTGTGTCTATTTAGAGACTCAGTCTGTTCTACTCGTATTTAGTCATGATTTATTTTCAGCAAAAATAAATATTGTCAAGTGTTAAACTTTTATGCTCGAATTCAGTACATTTTAGAATCTTTAGGAATGTTTATTCATTTTTCATGAAGCTACTATTTTTAGTGTTATGAAATAACTGTCAACACGGCTTTTATTCATTAAAAAATTTCGTGCAGCTATCCTATCACTAGTACAAGAAAATCAATTGATTTAGTTTGTACAGAAATTATTTGAGGGTGTTGATGTATCCAAAAAGGGAATGCTCATTTACATCCATGTTTTAATCCACTCATATCTTATTCGTTTAGCGTGATTTCAGTAGTTTGCAGTATGTTGAGTTTCGTATTCCATACGAAAAACAACATCAAAAGGTAACTTTTTAAGTAATTAAAGTTGAATATCAACGTGAGTCACGAATGTATCAACACTAGTTCATTTTATATAATTGCATTTGAAAGCAAAACCTAAAGAATTTTTTATACTTCAAAATTTGAATATCAATGCAGTACGTTGAAGCATTAACTTTCGCTTATGCCTTCATATTATTGTTCTTCATCCGTAATTTATATGGATTTGACTTGCATTTTACATTATTGGAACCACGCCTTTTCTGTCCTCTTTCGCCCTCGGATCGTAAGGTATAACTTTTTTCGTAGTAATGAAATATGTTAAGAAAGACGCATGTCCTTTCGGGTGAAATTTTCAAAACTATAGTCATCTACATATGAAATTGATTATCATTAATTAAGATTAAAACGATAAAATTGTTGTTTTTATTGCTCAACTATCGTATAGAGTATATGTTTAAAACTTAAATTAGTAAAATAAACTCGTTCACATTGATTTTGATATTTAATAAACAGCAAAAAATAATAATTCTCATTACGATACAAAATCCTTAGAAAAAGAAAACACTTGAACACAATAAAACGACTGAAAAACATTTTTATTATGTATTTTTCTTTGCTATGATCTTTTTCGTTGGTTCATTTTCAATAATAATCATAGCCAATTGACTTCGTGATGCTAAACCCTTTTCACGTTGCATTATACATCGACTATATTCAAGTGTATATGATCGTTTTATTGAATCACATTTTATTGGATGATAATGAACACGTAATGCTTGATCAGGTGCACGCAAAATACTTATATCAGTTACTTGTACAAATAGATCATAAAGAGTCATCGATGACAATGATATATTATTTGATAATAATAGCTTTTTCAAATTTAAATAATCGCTCATATACATTCCAATATGATCAAACGCATAGGAATTAAACCAACCATGAGACTTATGTAAATCAATTGTAGAATTGTCTGTCATGTGATATGTACGTACAATAATATGCGGATGATATTGATAGAAAGCAATAGGAAAAAATGCTTGCACATTTTCAATAACATTTAAACGACAACGATTTAAAAAGTCTGCTTCAATATCGACATATGGATTGGTTATAAATATTAAGGAATTTGTTTCAAATTTTGTTGCAAAAAAATCCAATATGTATGCTGCTTGCGTATAACGTGTTGTTGTTGATAAGGGTAAAATTATAGTATGATATGTTACTGCTAATTGGGTTCTCGTACGACGTAACACATCAACTTCATGCCGAAGAGTATCAAACCATTTTTGTGTTTGCGATAATTCATGTTTTGTTGTAACAATATGAGCAAGATGTAATTCAAATTTATCACGAGTTTCTTTATCAAACAAGGATTTATTAGCATGACGAAGAAAACGCAGTGCAACTGATTGTTCATCTGTATAGATAGGCAAAATAAGATAGATTTTAGTTGTTTCAGTAACAAATGGCATTGGTATAGTTTCAACAAGACCTAAAAAGAAAATATTTAATTGAAATTTTATTTTAATAAAGAATAACAAAATGATTTAATCAATCGTTTGACTTCTCGCTTCGTGATTTACATTCTTCATGTTATTTTTTAATTATTTCAAAAAAAAAATAGTGATCGTAGTATTTATTTTTGTTTTAATTTTCAGTAGGATATCGAACGAGTAATTCTGCTTGGAAAAACTGTTGATAGATTAATTTTTTCTCAAGAACTCTTTTTTTCTTTGTCAATTCAGTTATAACTAAAAGCATTATTCATCAATATCGATTCTATTTCAATAGACTTTTAACATGTGTAATCGGAGCTGCTCTGTTGTGGTTGTCATAGGGTTCACGTGTAATACGAACTATTAAGTTGATGATTTGAATAACAGTGTTTACGAATCAGTCGCTTGAATGAGAAACCTTTCCGATAAAAGAAAATGCTATTTTAGATCAAATTTTAACTCCATCATAGATAATGTTTGACTTCTTGGAGAATCCATATAACTTAATTCTTTAACGAAGTAAGGTACTCGTGGCGTATTGAACTTGAAGGCAACCATTTTACGCACTCAACATTTTCACCGATTTTTTAAAATTCATTCTTACACACTGATTGTGTCATTTGAAATAACATGAAATCAGAATAATCATATCGTGTAGTAGAAGCACGCAAATTTCTCAAGTTAAAAATGATATAGTAAGTCTTTAGTTTTCGTTCTGATAGAAAAGAAATTATAATATTTTCTTGAAAACGATTGCTTTTCTGCGCAAGGAGCCGTCGAACTATTTATTGTTCTCAGAATCATATATGGATATTTCTGATCTTTTTCTTTACGTAACTAACACAGTGATTGAAAATTCTATTCAAATAGAAATAAATTAGTTCTATTGAATTCAATTTTAAATATTTTACAAGTCTGTTTTCCAGTCAGAGAATAGATTCAATTAATAAATTGTATGAAATACCTCATGTAGAATACTTATAGATTGTTTTATTCTCTCTCAAATATATCAACGCTGACATCATGCATACACTTTGAACACGTATATCTAGAATTTTCCAAAGCGATGATTGTAGAATAATCTTTTCAACATCTTTGTTGTCTATTCAGTTAGAATACTCGGTACAATTTAATTAGTGTAGATCATACACTGAACACAAAATACTTAATTTTCTTTATTTCAAAGTCTACTGCCAGTGCATACCGTAAAAGAGAATGAATAATAAAAAGTATACTTAGCCTACCTAATGGTCGCATCAACTCTACCCGTTTCGTATATTCAACTTGATCTTGATCAACAAGTAAGAGATCCATAATGTAATGTGTCCCTCGTGTTGGATCGAATTGGCGATAACCATTTAGTAACTTTTTCAAATTCAATCTATTTTATAAAGAGAAAAATTGTATTCAACAATTAGAAGAACACAGCTGTAATCACTCGTACGAAACGCTATATGTTTTTTGTAATTGTTCCAAAGCATGATCGATAACTTCATGGACATCTTCATAATCATCACCTTGACACAAGAAAACGAAAGTTAGCATAGTCAAGTTTAGTTTGACTTTTTGAATTCAAAGAAAATAAAACAAACCATTCATCGGACTGATCACATCATTATCTGTTTTTAAATAAATATGAGTTTCATTAAAATAATCCCAACGAAGAACATCAAATCTTGTTGGTGGTTTAAAAGGTGGTGGTACACCAACTGGCCATGGAATATTTCCACAACCTTCAGGTGCAAAACATGATAGTTCTTCGATATTTTCTTCATATGTTGCTATACTTGTCGTCATCTCATCAAGTTCAACTTGATTGAAATATCTTACGAAATAAATTTTGTTGATTAGAAAAAACAAATACGCTAGCAAAATTTAATTCTACTTTTGAAGTTTAAGCATCGTTTCAAGATCGTTGATTGGATGAACTGTTAATGTTTGATTGAAATCTTCACTTTTAGATAATCGATCGATATCAGCATCGAATTCAAATCGATAATTAACATAAGCAGTATATTTATAATTCTATAAAAGTTTTATTTGAAATTTAAGTTAAACAAAAAAAACTTGAAGCTTACACTGGCTGTGTTTGTACAAGGTAGTTTAGCTGCTTTTAAAACACATCGTCCAATGTTGTCGGTTAGATCTTGCGAATAAGCATTATTTGTACACCAATCAATCTCGTCAAGTATTTTCCGAAGTACAGTCTAGAAATATATTTAGTCGATTATTTTTCTTGAAAGACAAACAATTCCTATTAGTGTCTTGTTTAGTAAAAACAAATACAAGTTAAATTTACAGAGAATAACATGCAAGTAGCATGTGCTGTCTCATATATATTCTGTGTGAAAAACATATCATCTTTCGAATAGACACGATCGAACGGCTTCTTTGTGTTTTGGTGAGATTAATTACAATAGACAAAAAGAAAAAGAAGACAACATTACATTTTTTTACTGTGTCATATAACTCAGCAACGATATATGATCAGCTTATTATCGACAAATCTCGATTCGATCCGAAATCGAATGTGATTGGTCATGCTCAATTTCCGTCTATGCAAAAATGGATTGCTCATTTTCGAATCGAGAAAATATTGACCTTCTATAATTTCAATTTTGAAATACATACTCCAGATAGAATGATACCAGATCCAAAATAGCAATAAACAGCATGTACATCATCAAATGCTTGTCCCATATAGAGATCTTGACTAATACTGATATGATTCAAAAATTCATTCAACTGAAATATAATAAAACACGAATAATTATTTTTATAAAACTTCTTTTCTATTGAAATTACCTTAAAACCTCGTATATAGGTGTTATCCGGCAAGAGTACAAACCAATCGTATAATTTAATCATCTTTTCAGCAAGATATTTTAATACATAAAATGGTTTTAAATAAGCTCGTTTATCGTGTACTGCAATAACTTGCATACTTCGAGGAAAATCTTGTACATCTTCATCAATAAAAAATAATAAACGATTTACATAATCTTGTAATGTTTGATTGATAAAAAATGCAAATGTATTTAAACGATGTGGTTCAGTTAGTACAGCAACAAGAACTTTTTCACGTATACCTAATTCATCAGCAATATAACGCGGTCGAGTCACTTTAGATGTATTTGACGATTGCGTAGATGTTGAGAAAGATTTATTATTCGAGTTCAGTTCTAATCTTGGTGGATGTATTTGTGGTTCATAATCTTTACTACCATAATCAACGAGTGTTACATCGACAACTGAACGTGGTTCTCGACTTAATATTCGAAATGGATCGAATCTATCACTAAACGACAGTGTTTCATTGCCAAAATGACTATTGAATGACGATGAAAATGGTTCAGAAAAAAGCGAGAGAGGATTGTCACAGACGCTCATTATTGGCAGACATGCTAAACTCAATGCAAAACCAAGTGACAGTCCGACCAATATGGATAATATATAGCGAGACTTGAGACGTGTCCGATGGAACAAAAGGGACATAGTTGAACATATATAACTAATTAGTTGAGTCAGTTTTGAATGAATCGTTAAACAACAAGGAAAGCAACGAATACTATTATTCTTTGTTATTAATGATGTACGACGATTATTGTTGGATTGAACTAGAAGAAAAAACAGCAGCATAAATAAAAAAATTTTAAATTCATTCAAGATTACGGGAAAAAAATGTTTTAAGTAAATATACATTTTTTTTTAATGTAAATACCATTACCGTAAGCATTCAAAGCAGTTAACGTTGCCAAAGAATAAGATGTTTCTATTAAACATTTCTCACTTCATGTACATACATATTTTAAAATGAAATAAATGGAATAATGTACTGATGTGTACTCTCATAGTGATGATTTTCTTAAAAAAAAGAAAAAAGTTCGATCGTCTCACCTTCTAATCGTTCTCAGCCATCTTTTCAATACAGAAGCTTCATTTTATGCATGCTGTCGTTTTCGTCCTCTTCTTTACATCTTTACATCCTTTCAAAGTTATTGAAAGCAGCGCTAAAAGGTATACGTGAGAGCTGAGAAAAAAACGAACACGAAGAGAAAAAAAAACGTATTTGATTATTCTGTTTGCCTAAGCTGCATGTATACGGCTGTTTATAGCTGTGCCATCGGAAGAATAGAATCATTCTTTTTTGCGTACATATCGCATATGTACCAAAGAGTAATAGACAAGCAGAACAAAGAAAGAAAGCCCTATCAATACTCATATACAAGTACACGCATATTGTTTCCGACTGTTCTGATAGTCGTAGTAATAAATGGTTAGCTATGCACAATTATATAGAACATCTGGTGAATATAAACAAAACGAATGATGGTTTAAAAAGAGATAAATGATTATGAATGAGACCTTTAATATACGTCAATATTTGTTTGTCTATTGCAAAATAATTCGTCGCTGACTAAGGGTTTTAGTTTATAAAATATCAATAAAAACAAAACACAGTGTTTTTTCTGTCCTTCTCAATCGATGCAGCCCCTATGGTAATAATGGTGCAATTACATGATCATGAAAATTATTTTGTGTATTTTAATGTATTATTATGTTTGAAAACAGCGCATTACTATGTACTTTCTAGGGAATAATACATTAAAAGTTATGAAATACGTTTTATTATTATTAAATGCCATCAAAATTCTGCTATACGACAAGGGGCGTCAAATGATTACAGGTACTCACCGTTTCGTCGATGTTTTCTGCCGTAGCGAACCATGCACTTCTTTGTCTTCTACATGAATTTCTTTTTTTAAGTGATATCAATCCGTTTTCTGCACACACTTTGGATTAACATTTGTAAATACACATACGCCTTACCGTTCTTCTATCTTCTCTTTTTTCAACTAAATGAATATATACATATACGGATATATATGCAATTTGAACTCAGATCGATTGATTTCGTTCTCGCAACTTTATAAAGAACGACGAAAAGCGAATAGTGAAAAAAAAATACATTTTATTGTAAATGAGCGTGTAATTATCATCAATTTTTATTCTAATTCATAGCCTTCTTTCAGCATGTCCTCTTGTCAAGATAATACGAAACAATCAACAGGAGACCACATGTATATTCAACGATTATGTATAGATGTGATCAGATATTTATATATATATAGTTTACTTATATGTCACAGTAAATATTCTTGAGACTGAAATAAATGCATATATTCGAGCTCGAAGGATTACGACGAATGAATACCTGTTGACTACTGCAAATAATTCGATTTAGTAAAGAAAAAGAAATTTACCTGAGAGTAGCAAAATATTGTTTTGCCCTTATGTATCCAATGTAAAATAAAATTCTTTCTCTCTTCATAGTCATCAAAACAGGTAGATTGCTGGTAGCTATATGCTTTCCAATTTAACATCGATGAATGAAACTCTTTCAAAAATACTTTTCGAAATTCAAGTCTTTCGTTAGTACTTTACAGTTCATTAAATGTGAAGCAACATATTTTTATGATGTAATTTCATATGATTACTTTTGTACAATCTATTTGGATTATTTTACTGTATGATTTTTCTGAATAGCTCAGAGCTAAATATGAATAGAATACAGAAACTGACAGAGTCCGGAAGGCTTTTGAGGAAAAAAAATACGAACGTATTAAAAATTACTCATTTCGAATTGCAAATTACATTCATCATATACGTATATAATTGTTTCAAATGTTGTTTCGTTCCTTTCATCTGTACCCTTAGAATAAAATGTTTTTTTTTTATTATACATTCATTGATGCAATACGTATTGTTTAACAAGAGGAATAGTGAATATAATAATCAGGCGATTTTTTCTTTCAAACTGTTATTCATAACAAAAGCTGAAGTGTTGTTTTGAAAACAAACCGGTTGCATGTTCGATGATCGATTTGGTAATGCATTAATTGAAAACATTGTCAATGGATTTATTTGACCGTAAGTAAAATTAGATCCTTTATGAACAAAATTGAATGGCTTATAGAAGATTCTCAAAGCATCCGATTAGAGCAACAAAATACTTCAGTTAAAAGTACTAATATGAATCTTCGGTATTTTTTGTGCGTTATTTAAATAGAAAATGAAATCGCTCAGAATTTATTTTAAATTCTATGAATTCAATAATAATAATAATAATAATACATCATTTCAAAAAGAAAACATTCTTCAATTGTTTTTCTTTGAATGAAATAAAACTTTTCGTAAGATGAAAACTATTTGTAAAAATATAATTTGAAATGTTTCTTTTTCTTTTATTTCAATCAAAATAAAGAACGCAAAATATAAGTCAAGCACCGACAAATACAGCGTATCGTTTTATTCATAGTATCAACGATATGTATTTATTTTTGTGGATATACACTTACTTGTTATATGGATTTAGTTTTTTAGATGGCGAAAATAATTTTTGTGTTGTGTGAGAAGACTATTACTCATTTATATATGAATGCAAAGGATATCCGACACATTGAAATGCGCCTTGCCTTACAAAAACATTCGACTGATAAAGTTGACACTGTCGAATAAAATGCATCGATTTCATTGGGCCTATATCAAATATCATAACTTATTTTTATCATGAATTTTTATTTTGTGCATTTATCGATTTTCATTCTAAATGCCAGGATTTTTAGCCAGACTATTTTCTTATAGCTGTTTTTTTCTAACGATTATCCGATTGAAATTTGTGATGCAGCAAAGTTTTCAATTAACGAAAGTTTTCTTGTTGTTTTTCTTTGTGAAAATTTACAGCAGGTTCAAATCAAGACTGCTGTAGGTCATCATCTGCTTTAGGGCACATCGAACCATTATTAATTCTCCCTGCACACGCACGCTTGTATATTTGATAGAAAACATTCGATTGATCTTGACATCTATTCAAGTAGCGAACAGATTACCATCAACAAATGATTATTATTAAGTAGATGAATTTTGAAATTACATTTAACAATGCAGAAAATAATAATGGACGATTTAGAACTGAGATAACCCTAAAATTCTTGTGAATTGTCTGTTATCTAAGAATATTTTTTTTGCTTCAGCGCCGATAACACAACAAGCATTTCTATTTATGTTTAAGTTCTTACAAATTTCTGTCGTTACATCAACTAGTCAATGCATCAAATTCAGTTATTCAATAACAAATACCTTTCTATTGTTGTTTGCAATAATAAAATCAGTTTTTGTTGAAAATAAATGAAAAAAAATTTAATTGTGTCAAATGATTTTCTCTTAAACGTGGAAATTCTTTGACTCGTTCTCTATAAAGTCAACAGGAGTTCTACAATAATAAAAGAGATAACAAAAAAATAAATTTAGATGTACTTTTATCGAATTAAGATGACAAAAAAAATAGGAATAGAGCGAGTTTGTATTCTTTATATCAACGAAATTTTAAGCAGATAGCAAAGATACCACCCTTTTACTTTGCTCGCATAAAATACGCACTCACTATGGGCTCGATATTGAATAAACAACATACTAATGAAAGTTTAGAATTAACAAATTTAGCTAAAACAACGAGATCAAAATCAGTCACTGAAAATCAAGATGATTTTGAAGAAGGTATTTTTGTTTGGCTTGACTCAGCTAATCAATATAATGATGACTGGATAGAAGAATCCAATCATGCTCGAGAAATAATAAATAATTTAAAAACATTTGATAATCCCAATGATTGCATTAATTTTATCAAAATGGTTGTTAATGATAAAGTTTTTCTTTTTGTTTCACAGTATGAATTATTTATTGATTTGATTAGCTTTTAACTAATACTTTTTTTCTTGTTTCTTTTTATTTTTACAGTCAATACGTTCATCTAATATGTTCCGTTAAAGCTGAACTTCGTTCATTATCATCTATCTATGTCTATTGCGATTCAACTGTTACAACGATAAAAAGAACACAATTAGAAACTTGGGCTAAAACTAATGAGCCATTAATAACTGGTGTTTATTTAAATTCAACAGAATGTTTCTCACAATTAACGGAAGACGTTAGCGATGTTTGTGATCATGATTCAATCCCTGTAACATATTTGAGTCCACAGATAAAAAATTTAAATTTAAAACAAGCAAGTTCATTTCTTATATTTCATTTATTTTTTCAAAATATTTTGTTCCACCTATCATCATCATCTATTGATAAATCACAAATACAACGAATATTACGTTCATGCTATTATTACTATCGTGATAATTATAAGCGTTCAGATGAAATTAAACATTTTGAACAAAACTATAAATCTGAATTAGCTATCGATTGGTATTTAAGAACGAAATTTCTTTCACGTCTTTTACACAAAGCTAGCCGGACACACAATTTTTCACTTCTATTTAATTATAGTTTTATTTTTCGTGATATACAACGTTTAATAGATGAAAACACATCAATAGATTCAGATAGCTTACAAACGAAAACCTATTATCGTGCACAAAATGTAAATGCTGATGATTTATATCGTTTACGTATGAATTTAAATGGTATTATATCAATAAATCGTTATCTTGATATTTGTAAAACTATTGAAGAAGCTATCAGCGAAGTTTCATCAAAATCTAATACACTTGAAACTGTTTTATACCATTTTTCCATAAGTCACTCATATAAATCAATATCAGATAATAAAGTTCTTCTTTCGATTGGTACATTATTTCGTATTCAACATATTGGAATGCAACTTGATGGTATATGGCATGTACATTTAAATCTCATGGCAAAAGATGATATCAATGAGCAGATCAATATTTTGTTGAGTGAAATTGACTCTATTCCACATCCATATTTAACTATTGGGCTTGTTTGGGATAAAATAAAACAATCATCAAAAGCTGATCGATTTTATCGTTTACTAATTGATCATTTACCTAAACTAGATGAAGAAACAGCACTAATCTGTAATTATGTTGGAGCTATATTTCGTCTAAAATGTCAATATGCAACCGCGTTGAATTATCATGAACAAGCATTAAAAATTTATCAAGAAAAAAATCAAACAAATTCTTCGTCCTATGAAAATATTGATCGTACACACGCACAAATAGCACTTGTTTATAGAGATACGGGAGATATATTAGCAGCTGTTAAACATTTTAAATTAGCGCTTAAACAAGGAGAAGAAATTTTAAGTCATGTCGGAGAAATCTACAGAAATTGGGGACAATTCAATATTGCACAAACATATTATCAACAAACTAAAGTAGAAAATAACATAGGACTTTGTTATATTTATCAACGAATGTTTTCACAAGCATTATCTCATTTGAAAAAAGAGACGGAATCAATTTCAAATATAAATCTAGGAGTCTATCATCAATTACAAAAAGAATATAGTACAGCATTGATTTTTTTTGAACGAGCACTAGAAGCTGTTAAGAATCATCCCTTAGATACAGCTATGATACATTCATATCTTGGTCTTTTACATTGTGATCGACGGCAATGGTTATTATCATTGAAACATTATGAACAAGCACTGGAACTATATAAACGTCATTTATCAACAGCGAATCATCCAACGATTGCACTTGTTCATGATGGCCTTGGAACATTGTATCTAAATAAAGGTGAATATCGTGCAGCACAACGTGAATTTGAACGTTGCTTAGAATTACAATTACGTGTATTATCATCGAAACATCCCGATGTAGCTGGAACCTACAATAATTTAGGTGGCGTTTTTAATGAAATGGGACATTACGAACAAGCATTATTATATCATTATGAAGCGCTTGCTATAGCCACAGCAACATTACCGATGGATCATTTTGATATAAAATTATATGAACATAATATAACTGAAACTAAACGAAAACTTGCGTATAATTAAAATGCACTTATATATATTATTTTTTCAGTTTTTGTCAAACTATTTCAAAAAAAAAAAGGAAAATGATTTTATTTGACGATTGTATTAAAGTATTATAATTGGTATATTTATTTTTTTGTTAAATATATTTTCTTATTTATATTTCAGCAAACAAAATTCTAGTAGAAAAATCCAATAGACAGTATTCCAGTATCAATACTGCAAGTTCTATTTTCAGACAAACAATGTGATAGAAGAAAATAGTTAATAATGATTGCTGTCATATTCAATTCATTCATATGATCATGGATATAAATGATTGGTTTTCATAATCTACTCTCATTGGACTACTTCAATCGTCATCTAAGATACTTCCACGTTTAATGTGTAATATGCAATGTATTGTATTCTAGCATCATCATTTTTATACAAAGAATTCAATTGATAAGATGAGAATTGACAAATTAGAATTTTCTCTCATTATTAAAATGATGATATAAGTAGTTAAATATTTGTCATAATACCAAAGGATGATTATTAAAATTTATTTAGCAAAAATGAGTTAATATATGCTATTGTAATTGCACAAAATTATGAATAAAAAGGATAAAGAAAAAAAAGAAAAAAGGTGATAATGATGATGATACATCATTATAGTGGGATAACAGGCTATATGATTTGCGTGCAATTCTAATAGTAAAAATTGAAGATAGTTGTTTTAAAAGATAGAAAAAAGAAAAAGAAGTATTAAAAAAATTTTCATAGCTGTTCGATTGATTAATTTTTTTATTGATTCTATCGATTTAAAAACATTTACGATGAACAATTGATGGACCAGCTTCATCGTATTCTTGTTTTGAGATCCACATTTGTTGAAATGTAGATAATGAAGCCAAAATTGAACCACCAATCCATACTGAGTATTTACGTTCAGGTGGAGCAATAATTTTGATTTTCATTGTTGATGGTGCTAAAGCTGTTATTTCTTTTTGCATACGATCAGCAATACCAGGATACATTGAGGTGCCTAATTAATAATTAGTTTTTTTTAGAAACATAAATATATGTATTCATTGGTATGAGTATTGTTTACCTCCTGATAAGACTGTGTTAGCATATAAATCTTTACGAATATCAATATCGCATTTCATAATTGAGTTGAATGTTGTTTCATGAATACCAGCAACTTCCATACCCTATAGAAGAAGAAGGAGAAATGATTATTAGTTAATAATCCATGAAACATATCTATAAATACATACCAAAAATGATGGTTGAAAGAGTGATTCTGGGCAACGGAAACGTTCATTACCAATGGTAATAACTTGACCATCAGGTAATTCGTAACTCTTTTCGAGTGATGATGTTGATGCAGCTGTTGCCATTTCTTGTTCGAAATCTAAGGCAACATAACATAATTTTTCTTTGATATCTCGGACAATTTCACGTTCAGCAGTTGTTACAAATGAATAACCACGTTCAGTGAGGATTTTCATTAAATAATCAGTTAAATCACGACCAGCCAAATCAAGACGAAGAATGGCATGAGGTAAAGCATAACCTTCATAGATGGGTACATCGTGTGTAACACCATCGCCTGAATCAAGAACAATACCAGTTGTACGACCAGATGCATATAATGAAAGTACAGCTTGAATGGCAACATACATGGCTAGAAAAAAAATAAAAATAAAAATAAATATTTTCTTTTATCAAAAATAAAAGAATTTACCTGGTGAATTAAATGTTTCGAACATGATTTGTGTCATTTTTTCACGATTGGCTTTTGGATTAAGTGGAGCTTCAGTGAGAAGAACTGGATGTTCTTCTGGAGCAACACGAAGTTCGTTGTAGAAAGTATGATGCCAGATTTTTTCAATATCATCCCAGTTTGTGATAATACCGTGTTCAATTGGGTATTTAAGTGTTAAGATACCACGTTTTGATTGAGCTTCATCACCAACATATGAATCTTTTTGACCCATACCAACCATAACGGCTTGATGACGTGGTCGACCAACAACCGATGGAAATACTGATCGAGGAGCATCATCACCAGCGAAACCAGCTTTGCACATACCTATTCATTTGAAGAAGAAAAAAAGAACAAATTGTTTTCAATAAATTTCTATGCGTTTTATTTTGTTCGTAGGAATATTTTACCTGATCCATTGTCGATTACAATAGCAGCAACGTCTTCGTCACACATGATTATTTCTTATAAGAACTATTAGATGATGATAAATACGATGGATGTGTATACGTCTCCTCTACTGAGATTGTCCGCAAAAAGAACGAGAACCACAATATCTTCTTGACTATATACACATATACCGAAATAGTCTTTTCTTTCCTATAATATTCTTCGCTTTTTTCCCTAGAGATAAATGCATCAGTCGATACCAAATCGGGTAATATGCATCGTTATGACAACGGGCGACTGGAAGAAGAAAAATATATACATAGATGATAACCGCTTCCTGCTTCGTTATCCTATATAGTTGTGCCAGTGGGATATTCCGGATATTTTCAGACGTAGAGTAATAACCTATAGAATTGGAACGATATACATGCATTGATCACATTCTTCATTTTGGGAAAATAATACTACTGTTCGACGTTACTATCAACATGTAGTAAAGAATACACAGAAGAAAAAGAAAGGAAGCGTTGATGTCTTCAAATAGATGAAACGGCATGTAAGGAAAAGCAATAACGATTGATTCGATAATAATATGATCAGTTCGTTTTGTTTTGCACAATTGGTAACCGACGATTTAATTGTATTGCTTTCAATAAGAACTGAACCAAGATAAGATCAAACTTTTCTCGTTGTTTACATTGAAAAAAAAGAAAGAGTAATGGAAAAGTAATTTGACAAAATTTTGTGTTGATTATTTTTTAATATGGATCCAATACTTGTTTATTTGTAATATATGTGATCTATGATTTATCAATCGCTCTTTTAGAAACGGGCGAATTTTCTTTGAAAGAAATATCCACATATCAAAATTTACTCAAATTATATTCAAAAAATGTTTCCAAATATTCTAAACGATCAAAGAAAACGTTCTATGCAAAATGATAAATGAATGAATCGAAATTCTGTGAGTTATTTTCCAATAGTGAGTGTTTGTTTAATGTTCTATGGTATAAATGTTTTCGCGTTGAATAGAAAATCGACTTGCTAAGTCAGTGCAGATCAATTCTGAAACTCTCTCTCTCTCTTTCTTTCTATATCATTTGTAATAAACATACAGTACAATAGATTATTGACGTAAAAGAGTTCAATCTAGAAAGAAAAAGATAATCTACATTTAGGAACCACGCAAAACTAAAATGTTTGCATGTCGGAGCATACTCCCATAAGAGACTGAAAAACTATGATTTACTCTCAGTGACATAAATATTTCTATAATATTCGAATGAATTCTAATATATCCAAGAAAAGAAATAATAATGCTGCAGAATACTATCCTATCAGATTCTTTTGTTGACTGAGGTTCACACGGAATTGATTCTAACCAGAATTGTCTATTGACAGAGATTTATTTTTATGTTTTGCTATTAAGGAACGGATTGGCTTATAATGTCCAAAGAGTAGCCACCTGTTTGCCTAATTTTTGAAAATATAAAGAAAAAGTCTTTCATCATTTTTTGTTTTATTTTGAATGTACACTATCAATGCAATCCATTGAAAGGTTGACTTAGAGACCATCAATGGAACAGTGGAAAAACTATAATCAACGATCGAATAGTTGGTGATGTGGCAGACATATGTATATACGATATTGGGTGGATATAATAACGAACGAATGTACCCAATTGATCCAGGCCATTTTCAATTATATTTTGCCTATTTACCAGCATATTATTCTTGGAAAATTGAAGAGAATTTGAGTTCATTGAATTTCTATTGATAGTTGTTGCTATTTTAATGCTTTTTGTACTGACAATGTGGTATTTACAGATAGTCGGAAAGCAAAGAATTTGAGCGTGAAATTTTATTCATATATATTGATTTTAGAGTCACTTGGATACCGTAGAAATTTCATAACACAAATAATATCTTCTACTGCTCATGTTAAATGATTTGGACATGTAATCATTCGTCGCTTCAATATGTTATGCAGCAATGTTTAGAAATCAATACTTTAGAAAAGAAACATTTTCCCTCAGTAGCACTTTTAGATTGCTCTGATGAACCATCCCTGAATGCCTTGCGCTATGTTGAAAAGCTACTCAAATGGTTAGCTATAATCTTCTAAATAAGCTTCATCAGAACGAATCCTTGTAAGTTTTTTTCTAGATTTATGTCCCTGACATATGGGCCAAATATCATCGGAGACAACGTGCATCAGCTGGGAATCTTTCTTCGTCTGATTTTTGCAGTTATTGTCTTGCATAAATGAATACAATGTTGTATTCATATTACGAATAGTAAATTTGAAATGGTATAATTTAATATAATATTTCGTTAAGTATTCTTATAAATCGATAGACAAAACGTGCTGAAAAATCACTAGTAGCTGACATATAACTTTAAAATAAAGTTGTTAATTTCACCCTAACAAAACAGCAAAACATCGAGCATTATCCGATATAAATAAAGAAAAGAAAATAGGATGTAAATTTAAATAATTAAAAATATATCTATGAACCACAAATTCTAGAAAATGCCACGAACTTATTACAGTTCAATAACTTTTCCAACACAGAGCAGCTGAAACTTCTAAATTCAAGGTTATAATACCATTGAGTTATAGTATTGCACATGATTGGAAGTATTATTATTATTATTAATATTGATTATAAAACAAGTCCATTGGAGAAAAACTTTTGTTCCTAATTATTTATTTCTTTTTTGTTACTTAGATAGAAAATTAATAGACAAAAACAAAAAATTTCGTTTCTGTATTACTATTTTAATAATGCTTATTTTTCTTGATCGTATAATTTCGCAAAAAAAGATGAAAATATAATTCAATCGAGCTATGTTACTTATTCAACAATCTTCAACGTTTCGTATTTGGACGAGTCGAACATTGATGTTTTATTTCCGTCGTACATTACTTTTTCTTGTTGTTAATTCGCGTCAAAAAATAAACAAAGACAAACATGATATTAAAGATGATGAGTATAAACTGCTTGAAAAATCTTTATGTGTTCAAAATCAAAATCAAAATCGAAATCATTCTAATCTATTGCAAATAAATCAATCAAAATATGATTTATTAAAAGAATATTCTTTTAAAAGATCATATCAAGGTTTCAATAATTCAATGAAAAGTTATTCATCCAATGAATCAATTGATGAAACGTCGTCAACGATAATTTCAACAAATTTATCACCGTATCATAAAATGATCGTTGGAAAAAAATTTAAAATGTCCACACCGCATTCACTGCACTGTTGTCGTTTAGCCACACTAGAAGCCATGGATAATACGAACGTTCATAAAAATAAAAATAAATTAAATGATTCTACTGATCAATATCAAGCAGTTGATTTATTTTCCTCGTGCCAATCAATCCCTATGAATAATCAAAATCAAATTAATAGTTGCCTATCATATCATTCTCCAGTGAATTGTAAAAATTCAACACCATTGTTTTCGGTTAGTCTTATTCAATTGAATGAAGTCACAATATTTCTATCTATAGCATTGTGGATCTTGTTCATCATTACTTTCTATAAGTGACTTGTCAGATGATGAAACTTCATCGTCGAATGAAAATTTATCTGTACCCATTGAAGAAAAACTCTCCCAAGTATTCGATGATGAAAATGATATTTATGAAAAATATCAAACGTCATTTTCACATATTCTTCATCATACAAAAAGTCTTCATACAATACGTGAAGAAGACAAACTGCACTCGATGTTAGCACTTGAACCACATACATCAATTATTACTGTTCTCCAATTAACGTGCTCTTGTATGAATTCAAACAATACTATCTATCATACAATATTAACAAGTTATATATGCGTTCGATTGATTGCCGAGCGAACAGATTTAGCCATTGAATCTGATAAAAAATCAATGGAATGTAAACGAAATTTTACTTGTTTCCCTATGAAACAAACAGAAAAACCGTTGATGAATTCTGTCATCAAATCGACAACGATTGATAACGAACAACAGTCATCAATATTTATTAATAAAAATTTCGAAGCGATTTCTATTATGTAAGCAACTAATATTTTAATTATTATAATATATTTTCTTGTAGGATTGATACACCATGTAAAATAATTCATATAAATTGATCAATATTATTTCATCAGCAGTGCCCAAGAACTGATAAATAGGAATTCCTAATCTGCCGACGAATTGTCAGTGCCACTGTGATAATTCCTAGAGACAATGGGAATCAACCATTGGTTCCCTCACAGTTCCACCATGCACGAAAGTCGCGATATTACTTTTTTATTAAATAATTTGTGCACGAAACTATTGATTCTCACAATTTTGCAGGTCAAGATGAGTGTAAGAACAAAAATTATTGTGAATATTCCATATTTTTACCTTTAGTATGCAAAGAACTGTAGGAGAGCTGAGGAGCAATTCCTAATTCTCAGTCCTTGGACACCTCACTTTTCTATGATTTTCCGTTCACGAGATCAACGAGTCACAAAATGACAACTCGTGATGCGCACGTCTAGAAAGTAAAAGAAAAAAAACACGCGACGGCCGACAAATGCTTCTACTTCGCATTAAAAACCTTTTTTTCAACCAGTGATACGTATTGGCCTCACGTATCCAGGGTGCTAAAGTTATTGAGGTCATTTGAGGGTATACAACATATTTCGTCTCGTGTACACGATTTACTGTCCGCGGATTTCCTGTTCACGGATTTCCTGTCCATTGATTGGAAAATTTTTATTCCAATTAACGCTATTTTTATACGAGGATTTACTGTCCATTAATTGCTTCGAAGAAGAGAAATTAATAAATGAGTAATGGACTTGACAGGCAATCCCTTTTCTGAGCAAAAAATTACATAAATGTGGAAAAACAAAAAAGTCACCAATGAATGAACTGTTGAATAAATTTTCAATTTAAAATGACGGATGTTCATCAAATTGGGGAGTAAAATAGTCATTAATATGACAAAATATATATATAAATTCAAAGAACATAATTTTCTGATCATACTCTTGCTAAAAATGTCTGCTATATTTACTGAATCTACTCACGGTAAACGACAACTATGCTACCTTGATTATCGATATTCCATCATTCTTAAAAGCTGCTGGACTTGTATATTTTCAGCGTCCACCAAAAAGTTGAACATCAATTCATCTTTTTTGGTTTATTTATTAATCAATTCCTTATTCTCTTTGTTATTTCCTCATATATTTGCTTGAATTCTTTTTTTTTCTTCTAAACATATGTCGCAGTAGAATTTAAAATTCTACTAGTAGAAATTGAAATTCTACTGAATTTTACCTATAGCAGAAACTAAAATTTCAATTTCTACTAGTAGGATTTTAAATTCTACTGAATTTTAATTTCCACTACAACACATACATAGTTGATGGCGATAAATATTTTTCTGTTCATGTCTATTCTTCGAGGCAATCAATGGACAGTAAATCCTCAGCAGCAAAAATTATACTTTTTGCAGAAAAAAAACAATTTTCTAAGAAAAACAATCAATGGACAGTAAATCCTGTAAACCATTTCGTCTCGTATAATATCTCTAAGAGCTTGAATAATTGATTACAGTTAATCATAATTAATCCACCAGTCACTAGACATGCAATACATCATAGAAAATGACTGATGCGAAAAACAAGACAGAACGATTAATCAATTTTTATTTTTAGATATAATAGTATTTATTGATGAGACAAGACAATACCAAGATTAGCTTGAAAATTTTGATACATTGTTATAAGCTTTAGAATTGAACAAGAAAAACAAGTTATTATCTTGTTTATACTAGTAAAACGTTTTTATGACGGCATAAAATAATATTAAGTTGAACCAGATTTCCGAGATAAAATCAGGAAGCACAATTTTTGATATTTCGAGTTTAAAATTTCTATTGCTATTCTAAGTTCAAGTTTTGTAAGTTTCGTTAGAACTTCTACTTTAACTTTCAGTGGCAAATAATACGTTGCCGGTACTCGATTTTTGAGCATGAAAATGTACAATTTTTTCATATGGTAATTTTCACGTATTCCAATGAATCAAATTCAGACATAAAAAAAATTAAACAAAGTGGAAAGTAATGCTTATATTTAGCATTCCATTTTAATGTTCGTTCAGTATAACCGCTGTCACAGTTTTCTTCATAGAGAGTTGCGTGTGAGTCAGCGTTATATGAAATGAGTATAGTGTAATATTCAAATTGATTTCCTCACGTCAGTATAAACTATAAAACTTCATGATCTTTATTTCTGATGCTGATGACAGCCATTACGGAATAGTATGAAAGGAAAACATTTGAGTTAGGTATATATTATAAATAATAATAATAAAAACTAGTAATAAATCTCGAATTTCGATGATAAATCGGCAAAACTGATTGTTTTGCAAGCTTTCATCGAGATATCATCGTACAACTAGTCGGACTACTATACGCAATTATATCGCTGATGTTTACGGCATTAGTGTACTCTGCTTATGTCAACAAACGAAAATAATGATACCACGCAAGTACTATTGACAGTAACATCAAGAATATTTATAACCATACCACGTTGTCACGTGGAAATACAAGAAAAAAAATATTGAATTGATCATCAAAAGAATGATAGTTTTGCCAATTATTCAATCATAGCTCTTATGCGAATATAAAATGGAATGAAATTTTAGTTTTCATCGTATCGTTACGTGCAGATTTGCAAGCAGCATCATTGATATCGAGATTAATTGAATCACAACACATGTTGCAAAATATGTAAGAAACATGAAATATAAATTTATTTTTATGTACAATCTAAAAATGTCAACCGTCAATATCATAATTTCAGGACTATTTGATTATGATTAAAACCAACAGAGAATTGTTTTTATTTTATAAATAAACTATAATTGTGTTGATATTTTTGTTGATTTTGCGTTCGATCATATTTAGTACATATGCAATATTCATTCATTGAACATGATAACTTTGCCATTTTCTAACTACTGCTCATAAACAGAAACATTAATAGAACAGTAACAGTGATTACAGAAGACTCAGCGCTTGTGTTTTTCAATCCATATGGTAATATACGTAGTTTAATTTATGTCATGATAAATCATTCTCCTCTACACAATAACTTTTATCTTCGTATGTTGTTCCTGAAAGACACAGCTAGTACTATTGCTAGTGACTATACAATAAATCAAGAACTTGCAATAGTTTCTAATGACTGAATGGATCGAGAATTAAAAAATGAAATATTAAGTTAAATATCAGCAAAAATAATTGATAAATGAATAAGGAGAAAATTTTCTGTGATTATTAGCTTCGATGAATAAATATTATGCAAGCTAGCAGTAGAGTTCCTGTACACATCCTTCAACACTGAATCCTGCATTTGAATCATGATATTGCTTTTATACAACTACTTGTGGCCAAAGTAGAAATATATTTTCGAATGAGAAAAACATAAGCGTCATTGTATTTTTAATCATTACAAATAATTTATCTAGAGATGACTGATAAAATGCTGAGAAGATATTCACTTACACATTTCATTCTTCTTCATTGAATACTCACCTCGTTGGCATTCAATTGATTGATACTAAATTTCAACGCGAAAAATTAGATCAACTTTGAAACACTATCAAGATATGAATGTAATTTCATATAGCACTTACTGATATTAGTCTTTCGAGAATAATTAACATAGCAATCGATCAGAATTCACTCTAGGTTTGGTCCAACTGAGTTATTAGATTTCAGAAGGGAATGTCCTAATGATAACATCAATCTTATCGGATTGTATAACAAGAATTTTACGAGTAATAAATGTCGAGAAATAAGCACCGATTTAACTACTGGAAAAGTCTATTTATTTTTGTGATATCTTTAAACAGATTTTTGAAAAATGGTTGAACATGCGGGACTGTGTTCAACGGAGTTGTCCTCTATCAGATAGAAAGACAATCTCATTTGATTGGCTGTATAAAACTCCAATAAGAATATGAATGTTCTGTTCTGTTCTTTACATATAAAAATTGAATCGTGTCATTTGTCTAAATTTCTTTGAAAAATTAATTTTTAATGGTAAGTTTTCTAATTTTCTCGAGTGTTTCATATCATCGAAAAGATAATTTTGATTTTTAGGATTTCTCGAAATTTTTCGATGATGAATTCAATACTGCCGACTGGCTTAATCAAGCATTTCGATTACAGAAAGAATCGAATCAAAATGTTGATAATTATACAGGAACATTGATAACAAAATTACAAATGTATATTCAAGAAATGAATAATTCTATAGAAGAAACAAGTCAACAAGCTATTCAGCAATTTCCTCGGTTAATAGCTGCCATTGTATTTATTTATATTGAAACAATTTAATGTGTTTCTTGTTCGAATTTTAGAGTTCTTCGTGAAATCGATGTTCTTCGGCATGAAGCAACTCTATTACAAGAACAAATGCATACAGTACGCGGTGACATTCAAAAAGTCAACCAAGATACAGCTGATGGAATGAAAAATTTGATCGAATTGGATTTAGTAAAAAATCGTATTCAATCAGCATCAAAAGCATTGCAAGAAGCAGATAATTGGGTTACTCTATCTGCTCAAATTGAAGATACATTTGATTCCAGAGATACTGTACAAGTACGAAATCAGAATTTAACTTTAAATTAAAGACATGCAAAGATGACCATGATTTTGAAGGGCATTATTTAAGTATTAGTGAAAAAAAGACAAAACGTTTTTTCTAGATTGAGAGAAAATTCTCTTAACTTGAGTCAACAAATGTTTGCTTTGAATAATTATTTCAAATATTCATTTCTATTCTTGAATTATTCAGATCGCAGCAAAACTAATAGCGATGCAACAATCGCTAAAAATTCTTACCGATGTTCCTGATTATGCTGATCGTGTTCAACGGTTAGAAACATTGAAAAATCGTCTTGAAGCATTGATAAGTCCAACAGTAGTCGATGCTTTTAACAAGCAAGATGTTGGTAAGTTTATAGATATAACATTGATTATTTATTATGTTTTATAAAATTTGCAATAGAAATCGCTCGATCCTTTGCGCAAGTATTTCAATCGATGGATCGTGGAGAACAACTAGAAGATCTATATGTAACATCTGTCAAAGTAATTATTTTTATAGATTAACGAATTCATGTTTTTTCATTCGATGATCAGCAAAAAGCATAATAATATATGAAAAAAAATTTAATTTATGTTTAGACACGTTTTGATGGACGTATTAAAGAACTAATTGATGGTACCAATGGTGAACACGAATCCATTTTTATTGCAATTTACGATTATTTATCAAATGTCTGGCAAGATGAGGTAAAAAAAGAAAAGGCTACAAAGAATTTTTTTTTTATTATTGTTTACATAACTTTTTTCATTCTGGTTTTTACAGGTCCGTTGGTCAACAAAAATTTTTAATCATCCAAATCGTGTTGCACTTTCCATTGTATTAAATGGTCTTAAAATTTTTCATAATAAATATAAGAACCAGTTCAATACAGAACTGCAACAAAAGCAAGCACCATCAAAAAAACGACTCGATATATTAATTGCGTGTAAACGAGTAAGTGATAGAAAAATTAAAGGAAAAAAAAGTCTCAAAAGCGAAAAGTTAAAATCTACGAGTTATTTTAAACGAATTAAGCAGCAATAACAGAGTATATGTGCAAACGTAAGAGTACTGTCGTTATTGTTATTACTTCGTTGCTTCGTCCTTTGATTCTTCTTTTTGTTTGAAAAAATTTATTGAATTATTGTCTCGATCACCAATAATCAATGTTTGATCGCGTTTGATCGCTAAACCACTGGGTCCTTTCATTTCTTTACAACGCCAATAATTAATTGTTTCAGTTTCTTCATTATTTTGAAAAATGGATCGTCTTTCAACAGAACGTGATTCAGGATCAGAATAGCAAACTGTCAACCAGTTTCCTTCGTCGTCAAGCAATATTCCATGTGGAACATTTAATTTAGCTTCAACATTTGGACTTTTACGAGAATCATGGTCATATATTTTTTGTATATAACCCATTTTATCGAAAAGATAAACGGCACCACGATAATTCGGTGCATCTTCACATGTCACAACACATTGATTGTTTTGATTAATAGCAATAAAGCTTGGTTTTACTTTGAATTGTGTTTGTTCCCAACGTGTTAAATACCAACGACGATTAACAAAACGAAAGTCCGGTGAAAAAACGCAAATTCGATGATTCCATGTATCACACATATAAATTTCTCTAAACATAAACAAATAAATATCCATATGTAAACAAAATTTATCTAAACAGATATTAATATACCCGGTTGTTGGATCAACAGTAATACCGCGTGGCAAATTAAAACGATTATTTGCATGACCGCTTTCTGAAGTACCCAATTGTTGAACAACTTTTTTCTTTTCTAAATCGTACAATAATAATGAATGTGCTTTTGTTACATAAATGTGTTGTCGATGATGTGGTCGTGGTGTAACACTTTCTGGCGTTGATAAATCACCACGAAATATTTCCAATAAACGACCATCTGTGTTTGAATCAAACATAAGTAGACGATTATGATAATAGTCACAAGCTATAATTTCTTCTTCTGCTGTATTTAATATACATACGCCATGTGTATGCGCCATTGACATGTTCGTTGTTTGACCAGATGATGGATTTTCATATTGAAATTTTTTTATTGTAAGATATGGTTTTGTTTCATAGTTAGTTATTGGTGGTAAATAGGAAAGTAATGGGGATGAATAAGATTTGGAAATTTCATTTTCTTCTTTATCACTTTCATCTTCTTCAACAGTGTCAACTGATGGTGTCCATCCAGCGGGTACACCGGGTAAACAGCCGGGAATTATTGATGGACGACGTTTAGTTAAATCGCTTTCCATTGGGTGTATTTATTTATGCCGTAAATAAGTAACAATAGTTAAGTTGCTGTTACTGCATCATTATTATCTTCCTTTTGTGTCAGCTTTTGGTCGGCTCGTTTGATAAATGAAGTATCGGATCAAACTGGTGGCACGACTAGAAACAAAGCGAAGCTAAAATCTGTCAACATAATTCATTGTAACAGAATATCCTTCCTCTTCAAAGTTGACATGTAAAGAAGCGACAAACAAGCAGAATATTACTATTATCATTATTCTGGTAACAACTTACTTAGTTAACACAGTAAATATATTCAAATAGAAGGATCAAAAATAATAATAAAAAACAGCAAAATTAAATTCATATTTTCTTGTCTTATTGATACTTCTATTTATAAACTACCCATATTGTCTGGTGTCTAATTACGTTTGGTTTTTCATTATATTTGTATTAGGTCGTGTTGGCAATATAGAATTATCTCTAACTCTTCAGTCAACCTGTCAACACATGAAATATTTGGTATCATGTTGTTTCTAGAAAAATATCAGACCTTACTGATATATGCATATATGTTTGTATATATATATATATATATATTGGGGAAATAGTCGATGCAGGTTTTAATGTCAGTGAATAGGCTGTGCGTTGAAAGAAAATTAAAGAAGATAATCAACAAGAAATCAAGGAGGAAATCAAGTCGAAATGAATATTCTATCATGACACTGATCTATATTGCACTAGATGCTACAAGTTCACCTTGGACATTGAAAAAATATTAAAAATAAACTGAAAACAAAACAATTTATTTATATCTATTATTTTAGGTTACCGATCGATTTGGTAAATCAATTCAAAGTCAAATACAACCATTATATCAAAATGTATCCTCTCAAGGGATTCGATCGTCAAATGGTACATACAATAGAAATTCTACCTAGAATTTTTCTCTAATATAAAATAGATAATCTCTCATATGAGCATAAAGAAAGGCGAAAACAAAAAGATATATAAAATTGTCTTACTGCTAACTAATAATTTACACGAGATATCATGTAAAAAGAAGAAAAAATAACCTTGATACAAATTTTCTATGATGATATCATCAATTTTATGTTGACTGATCTTATCTATATTCTCTCATTAAGCTCGTTTAGCCCTATGTAGATTAATTTATGTTTACAAATTTAGAGAGCTTCTCATCATCTACAATCGAAGTGTTCGTTTTTGAATTGTACTCAATCTACACGGATGCTTTTCAAAATTATTCTACGTCTGAACAAGAACGACTTACGGACGCGCTTGACGCTATTCAACTCGTATGTATTAATTGCTTCGGAAATCGTAGTTGTTTCTCTGTCGATGTAGATTTTTGATTGGAGAGTATATGTGCAGAAATAAGAAAAGATATCCAGAGCAAGATTATCCACAAAAAACATACAATTAAAGGAAAATATTTCTTATATTTCTTCATTCTTATAGAAACTGTCAGATGTGAGGGTCACCTTGCTCTTGCCATGCATAATAGTATTAGTAAAAAATATTTGCGCAGAAAAATATAATTCATCGATACCGAAACAAAAAGAGTCATCTGATTTTCGACTATGTAGAGAGTAATGAAAAACAATATTATCACATTGAAAATTAATAGAGGAAACTCAAAACGTACCAACAATGTTTAGTCATTTAGTATGAGTATTCACAGGTGGAAAATTTCAGCTATAAAACAGCCAGTATTATCTATGCATTTGTTGTTTTTCTATGGCCTACAAGGTAGAATAGTGCCGTTAAACAAATAGTGGATTTTGTCTTCTGACTTTTTTCCTATACAAACAAATATCGTATATTCTCTATTTTTTTCATTCCTAAATTTCATACCATGGGCAAAATATTTCCCTAGTAAACATATACGCATAGTTAAAAGAAAAATGTTTTGCATATTATGCGATATTTTCTAGGATACAAATGACACTTCATCTAGTATTCAATTACTCGTATCATCAATATCTAATGTATTTTCATTAGCAAATGAAGTAAATAAAGCGAATTAATCAGAAAACAAAAATCTGTAACTGCTTGTCTCTTTTTTCTTAATAAGAGCGTTGACAGATGTAAGCAATTAACCAATGGTCAAACAATCATCAGTCTTCTTAATGTCCTTCAAGTACACAAGAAAAATAAATCGCTTATTTTAATCCTATCAACAAAACTATTTTTCTAGAAATTTTTTATCAGTTATATTGGCGAATTAAAACGAGTTGTGAATAATATTCGCGAAAGAAATACGAAAATATTAGGCAATGAAGATTGGGAATTATTTCAACAAACAATTCGTATCTTGGAAATATGTGGTAAGATTTTTAAATATCTATTAGCAAAAAAAGAAACAGATCTCCATGTTGTATTTCTTATCATAAAAAAAATAGGCGAACTTATTCTTGCTTATGAACAATTTGAATCATCATTAGCACAGCAGTTGTTACAAATGATTAATGAATGGCCAAATAAATCGAATAAGTAAATGTCTATGCATTTGTCTAAGTTTTCTAGGCCCATATTAGTTCTGCTGTTGTATTATGCAAAAAAATTAATTTCTTCTGTAGACACAAACAACATCAGGATCTATTTGACTTAGCAATTGAATCATTTATTAACAAAACATCGTCATCGGATAAACATGATATTGTATCAATTACAAATGCTCTTGAAAGTAAAAACACAACAATGGTTTAGCTCTAGTATAACATTGACATATATGTTTTTTAGATGCTACGTACAGTCTCTTTCCTGATATACCAAAATTATTGAGTAAATTTAGTGATGAATGTCATCAATTTAGTTTTGATGCTGTCTTTTTACCGATTCATTCACTACTTAATGGGTTTTCGAAATTACCAGTAAATTGTATTATTGAATTTATTTCAATAGAAGATTTTTGTTGTTTCTTAAAAGGTTTGGTCAAGTGACAATCGAGGTACAATTGTTGCGGATTTACCTTCATTTAGTCTTGTTCCACAAGAAAATATTACTAAAGTAATTAGAAAAAAAAATTTGCTTCTTGCTATTCTTTTATAAATTTCATTCATAGATCGGTCAATATCTTTTAATGCTTCCGCAACATTTTGAACCATTTAATTTACATGATAATCGACAATTAGGAATTGCATTCAAAAAAGGAAAATTACCGTATCTCGAAGATAAAGGTATGATACTTTTAAATTATTCAATCGATATTAGAGAATAAAATTTTATAAAAGAAGACGACAGCGCATTATAGTTTCAAAATTGTCTTTAGATGATCTTTCCATTAGAATTCCGATTAAATCTATAATACTACGTCCTTAGATCCAAAGTGGTGGGAAAATTTAAAAAACAAAGAAAATATTTTCCTGTTATGTCAGAGACTTAGGTCGTAGAAAATATTCAATTTGATTTAGAATAGAGTTTTCTCTGGCGTGATACTATGAAGTAAAAAGTTTCAACGAAGTCTTCTCTACTGAGAAAATTTCTACTTGTTTTCCGTTACTATGTCTGCTCTGGCAAAGTTACTGCCCAAAACGATACTGTTATCGATCGGATAAACCTTGTGAAGTTTCAAATATAAAAGCTCTGATGTAAAGAAATTCAAAGTTTATATTGTCTTGCTCATTGTTTTAAGTTATTTGAATTGTAGCATAATAAGCTAACTTTTTTCTCTTTCGCAGAATTGTATAATGATTTAACATCCTGTTGGCTTGATTCAATTGCTTTGGCTACAATGCGTCTTTGTATTGAACAAACATTAAAAATTCAAACATTGAGTTCAACAGGTCTCAAACAATTAATTATGGATCTTCGTAAGTGAAATTAAATGTTTTCTTTGACTGAATCTATTTTTCCTTACGATTAAAATCTCTATTTTCAGAGTATTTATATAGTGTATTGGAAGATTTCGGCCTTAAAGATGTAGCCGATTTTCGAGATGTGATTGAATTATTGAATACTGCGGAAGAGACATTTGAAGAACTTGCTCGACATAAGCCAGCACGCATGGCTACAACAATTCGAACAATGCGACGCTTGTGATTTTCATGTGATAATAATCTCACTTTCTTTTTTTCGATATATTATTTTAATTTACGCCATCTTTCTGCTTTCAATAGATGGCGTTGTCCTCTGGTTTCTTTTTTTTCTCGTCTTCTATAATGTTACATTATTACTTAGTTAAATAAAAGAAAAAGGGAGGCGTAACGATAGTAAAAATTCTTCTGATGAATACTGAGTTTTACACTAAGAAAGTTTTTTTATTTCTAAACTTCAACTATGGAACTATTAGCTATTCATCAAAAATCCAAAGATGGTGACGATAATCAAGGACCATCGTTAACATCACAAATTCGCGATGAAAGAATATTAGCTAGACGTATCCGTGTTGATCAACGTATTGCACAGAAGAAACGGTGATTGTTTACTTTTGATAATGTTGTCCATGATAATGAGAAAATTTATTATAGTAAAACACTTGGTATCGTATCACCAGTTGAAGATGAACATAGGGATGAAGCAAGTTTAGCTAAAGACCAAATAGAACAATCACGACAACGTCTAGTTAAACTCGAAGAAGATGGTTTAGAATTCGTATGAATTATCTAGAATTGATTTGAGATGATAAAAAGAAAAACATATTCTTATCTATTAGGTAACAAATATACGAGTTGGTCAAGATTTATTGGAACATCAACATCGATTAGAAGAAGAAGAAGCAACAAGAAAAAGAAATGAACGTTTAGAACAAGATACAAAATCATCAAAAGAAAAATTTGATGAAGTAAAATACATTTAATAGCTAACGAACAGAATGTTCTTATTATTTTGATTTTTCACAATAGATTATTCGAAATTGGGAAGGTGCTCGAACAAAAGAGCTTCCGAGAGAATTACACGAGGTAAAAAAATGTTTTATTTGATTATATCAATATTTTTCTATATTTAGTTATTGATGGCACAAAAACATGCATGTGGTACAATGCTTGAAGAAAAGAATAAATTGATTGGAGAATTAGAAAAGGTTTGACTATTAATATTAAGTTTACAACTGCATTATTTTATTTATTAGAGTAAAAAAAAATGGAAAAAATTAGATAATGAGTAAACACACATAGAATGGTTGTATAAAATGTACCCAGTTATTCTTATAAACAAAATGCAATGTTTTCTAGAAAGTCTTTTATTATTATATTGTCATAAATACTAAAATAGCGAATTGCCAGTAAACAATCTACTGAGATGCTAATTACAACAGAATCAAGATGTCGACTAAGTTAGAATATCTTGTTTCTCATTCTGATGTGTTTTGATATACCCTTTTTGACACAATCATGCAAAAGCTCCGAGAATATTGATGACTCTGGAGATTAAGTGTAACATTTTTTGGTGGCACTGAATGAATTAAGAAGATCAAGCAATTCTTTGAGAACCATGTGACAGAAAAAGAAAAAACGACGATAACACTAATAGTTAATTTCGGAAAAGCAAAACCGTCTCAAAATTAAAAAATCTTTATCACCTAGTTACTCATTGAGAAGATTCCTATTGAATTTCCACGTCCAATTTCACCAAATATAATATACTTGTGATGATATTGATAGATGTTTGATTCAACTCTCATTGTCATTGAACCGTTATTTAAAGTAAATAGTAATTATTCCGACAATTGAAAAACTTCTACATGCGTTTGACACATAGATAAAATATACTCTCAAATTCTTGTTTGTAGGACTTAAAAAATAAAGATGATTATTATGTGAAAATGTTACGAAAATTCGACGAGAATATCAAACTACTTGTTGAACGTATGAATGAACAAGTTAAAAGTCGTCGAATGTATTATGCACGTGAACTTCATTCGATTGAAGAAGCATTTATTAAAGAACGTCAAGAATTATTAGATAAATACAATCGTGAATGGGGAGACAAATTAGATGAACGACGTTCGAAAGAAGTAAAAGAACTTTGTTTTGTTCCGTTTTTTTAAATAAGATATTGTTTTTCATTTAGGAACAATTCGTTGTAGCACGTTTTGAACGTCATGATACATTTGAACGTGACTTACAACGTTTACGTATAAAACAAGCTGAAGAATTTAATGCAACAAAAGTTAAATTAGAAAATCAAGTTCAAGAACAACAACGTAAAATCGAAGAAATGAAAGCTATTTATCAATTAAGTCAGGAAAAATATGAATACAATTATAAAGTATTGAAAAAACGTGACGAAGAAAATTTACTAACAATTGGTGTACAAAAAAATCGTAAAATTAAATTAAACGATTTATTAACTCATCTTAATCGAAAATTAACACAGAAAGAGAAACAATATAAAACTGAAAGTATTCAAGCAGCTGAAGAATACAAGAGAACATTAGGAAATATTCAAGAAATTAAACGAAAAGCGAAGTAAGTGTTTGTTTAAGTGATGAAATAAATTGAAGAGAAAAGAAGTTATTTTCAAACTCATGAAATTCTGAGTGATGATTGCGATGTTGATAATTGTTCTCTTTCAAAATAGTGTTTGAATCAAACGAAAATTTGAAGTTTACTCTTAAAGACTAATGTCTACTTTTGGGAACATCGTTCAATGATTTCTGATTTCTTCTATTCTCATTACGCCACTAGTTTGAATGAATGAATGAATACGTTTTCCTTTTTTTTAAGGAAGTATTCATATAATTTTCAATAACATATTTAACAATGCGATGAAAGGATCCCTAATTGTTGAGGAAGTGTCTATATCGTTATATTAATAATAACATCGAATAGTAGAGAATTACAAAATATTGGGTATATATATATATAGTATATGACTAAGAATTTACTAACTAGTAGATATACGCCGAATCGAAGTGGTCAGGTTTTGTTTTTTACTGCAGTTACTTTCGATGAATTGACAAAAGTATGTTAAGATACAGGCGCTGCAGTTGTAGCTATTTTGGATTCATGCATAGTAAAATAAATGATATACGAGCCCGACTTAAATGAATTTTTGCACCAGTCATGTAGCACCAGAAACTTTAAGATTATTATTCAATATTATCTGAATTGGTTGGATAGTTTGCAAATCTGATTTCAGGTTGATTGCAAACCCGATCACATACCCGCTAACTTTGTGCAACTTCAAATTTCTTAATCATTTTTTCTTTGAACTATTTCTTAAAAACTCAATCTAAATTATGAAGAAATTCATCAGATGTCATTTGTTTTCTCATTGTTTAGACATTTCTTAACAGCTGATATGGAAAAGTTTCACGAATTATGGATAATGAATGAAGAGCGTTGTAAAGAAATGGCACAAAAGTTGCTTGATGCTGATAGGATTATATTCGAACAACAGCTTGGCCTTAATTGGGTACCACCTGAACTTGATTTTATGAATAATATCGGTCCCATTGATGCAACGAGAATGCCTAAACCATCGATTGATGTCGTTCGAGAAATTTTAACTGATCAATACGCTGATGATACCGTTAAACAGACAACTAGTCACTTATCAAATACATCAATGAAGAATATACTCGAATTAATCTGTGACGAAGGCGTACGTTAAATATCGCTAAAGAATTTTCTTTTCTCAACTTATGAAATTATTTTCTTTTGTCAAGGATTTTCTTATTGAACCAAAACTATTGGCATTACTTGAACCATTAGACAGCAATGAAAAAAATTTAATTAAATTGGATGGTATTTTCCGTGCATTAAAAATTGAAAATGAAGAAGATATTAAAATCATGGCACAATATTTTATTGATTATATTCAACAAAAGAACGGAGAACGAACAAAAGTTTATGTTTCAAGTGGTGCTGGCCCAGAAACAGAAGACGGAGCAGAAGTAAAATCATTTATTTAAGAACAAATTAATAGCAACCCTAATTGCCTGCTTGTTGTTTTAGACAGATAATGAACACATCACAGATGCTGGTGATAGTCATGTTGAATTAATTCATCCAAATCATGCACTCAAAGCATTAAGAGAATTTCTTGAAGAATATCGAGGCCAACGAAAGTATGTTTATGTGATATAATTTTCATGCTAATCTTCATCTATTACAATTAGAGCTACTTCACAAGTTGCATATCAAGTGGCAACACTTGATGATCGTGATGATTCGCTAGATAAAGAATATTGGTCGAAATATCCAAATGTTGTAGATGACAAACGAGAACATCTATGGGATGCACTTCTGTCCGGCCTTCAAAAATATCAGTGAGTCTCTATTCTTTAGTTAATACTATTCGATATGTGATGAATTTTAGTTCAATATTGACGGCACGTGCAAAACTGATGGATGAAAATAATTCTCTAGCAAAACAAAATGACGAGTTACGTTTGCTTCTTTCGAAATACATGCAATCGAAAGTCAATCAAGAATTACAAATACCGCCATCACAAATTATTCAATTACAACTTGCTGAACAATCAGCAGGAAATAATTCTGGTGTCTTTTAAGATTTTTGTGAAAAAAACTATCGACTTTTTTTTCTCGAGGATGCACTACATTATTTTTTTTTCTTGTTGATGAACAGATTTTAAACAAAATATCTGAAAATATAATAAATATATAATTTGAGTGTGAATAGTTTATCATGAAATCTAATCGATTGAAACAAAACACAGTATAAACACATTCAGCAAAGTATATAGTGACCTTATTCGCACGCATACATTCTCGCTTACAGAAAAAAAAAGAAATCTTGTACGAAAAAACCTATAGATATATGATACATAGGATATTAATAGTATTCTATTTGATAAAAAAGATATTTCTGATGAAGATTAATATCAATCTATTGGTAAAATATCAATAAGAATTAAGAGTAAGTAAATGCATATTGACACAATAGACTTCATTGAAAACTGAAACTCTGAGCAAGTTCAAATAATTCCCATGACGACTAACTATGAAGTGCATGTCCAGTGACAATCGTTGTAGAAATTATTTATGTAGATTCAAAGCAATAGAATATATCATGAACAATTAATTTTATTAGTTATAATAGAGATTGAGAAAAACATATATAAAATAAAATAGCATTGAAACTAACTATATATTTAATTACAGTAAAAAAACAATAACAAATCACATATGATTATTACTATCAAATCTTCTAATGATGGTAGATCATTTTCATGAAAAAATCGTTTGCTTCATGTATCTCTGGATGCTATTGAATCATTGCGTTCACGTGCTTCACTAGTTCGATTCCCTGGTTGCTCTTCATCATTGAATAAAATGCAATAAGCAACACCATCAAATGCACCAATACCAACTGAATTATTGAATATTAGTCGTCAAACTTCAATTGTTTGCTATACAAACAAAATGCTTAAGAAAATATTTATCTTAAGAAAAGAAAACATTACATTATTATTTATAATAGCACCTACAACGTATGATCCAACGAAGCCTGGTATTGTACCCAAAGAATTCGTAATATCCACTAATGTACCTGTTAGCAAAAAAGAGCAAGAGCTCAAATTAAATATAAGTAGAGTATGTTTCATGTTTACCAGCATAATTTCATGCAACATCAAGATGAGAAATGAATGCACCAGATGAATATAAACCAAGAAAACCAATAGATAAAATACAACAAACAACTGCACCTGTAAGATTACATCCTATATAACCGATATCAATCAAAAATGAACATGTACCCAGAGTAGCTTATTATGAAAATGAAATAGTTTCTTGTTATATTTTCTTAATAGGGTTTCTTTACGAAGAATAGTTTGTAGTTTTCGAAGTGTTGTAATTGATGCAATATTTCGTGCTCGAATACGATCTGTAATAGATCCAAATATAAGTGTCATCAAAAATTGTTCAACATATGGTAGAGCGAAAATGAAACCATTCTATAGATTATCAAAGATATACGTATGTAAATATGATTTCTCTTTAGACAGTTAAACTTCCTATAACCTGTCGTAAATTAAAATTAAGTATAGTAGCGAAATAAGTTGGTAATGATGTTAGTAAAGTATAAAAAATATCATTATTACAAACATGCAGTATAGCAATACCATATACAGGCGGACAACGAATTATATGTTTTCATGGGGTTTTGTTATGCTTAAATAGATTAAGAAAAAAAACCTATTAGAGAAATCTTGAGGGGATATCAAAACACAAAACATAGTACAGCTCCCTAGTCGAACTTTTTTTTTATTCATGCGCTTGCCAATACTTGAGCTCAAGATGTGTCCGTAGTGCATGACTTACTTGCTCAAGACAAGCGCTTCAATGTTTGCATGAGCTACAAAAAAATGTAAATATAAATTTTTATTAGAAATTGAGTTATTTTGAACGTAAAATTGAAAAAAATCTTTAATAATAGAAACGCTTAGATAAAAATTCAAGCGCATGAGCAAGAAGTTTAAGAACTTGAGCTCACCGAAAGGTCTCATGTCTTGCCTCAAGAATTGCATGCGCTTGCAACAAAAAAACGTTCGACTAGGGCTGCTTTTGCTAATCAAAAAACGAGATACTTATAGTATGCCCAGTTCGGGACACATTTCCTATACTTAATAACTTAGAAATGTAATAAACAAGAAGCTCACAGATTTGAAAGAAACAATATTGATATATGATCTGTCATAGGATATCAATAGCATCTGCCTTAGTTTTTTTTAATAAGTCAATGTTAGGATGCTTTGGGGGATTCAATATCTATTTCTATATTTTAAGAGACATTTTGGGTTGAATGGCACAAAAACAACAATATCAATAAAAATTATTTTGTTATCGATACTTTGTGATTATGTGATGAAATTTATTTTTTAAGGAAACGACATTCTTCATTTGATATACGAGGATGTTGATCTGGAGAATTATAACCAAATCGACACCAACCAGTAAACCATAGACAAGAAAGCATGCCTAAAAATCAAAAAATATAAATATCGATAGATATATTAATGATTTTGAAATTAAAATTTGTACCAAAAACATAGAATGCTGATGGCCATCCGCCAAGAAAATATTCTTCAATCGTAATACTCATCAATGGCGTAGTAATAATAATTCCAAAATTTGAACCCGCTTGTGATAGCGGCGGAACTGTACTACGTTCCGACAGTGGAATCTGTTGAGAAAAACAAAAGAATAAATTTGTCTTTCAATATGTACTCATTAGTCGTACCCATTTCCCCCAGAACAGCTGCTGATGGAGATCCTGGTCCAGTAACAATACCAGTTAGAATTCGTATTCCAATCAATAATCCAACATGAGTACGAGATGCTAATAGTATAATATACTTGCTGTAAATATACATCCACGATAGATCCATTTCGCACCAAATTTTTCTGCTAAATTACCTTTATGAAACCGAAAACATTTTGTGAAGTTCATATTGAAATAGAAATTACCTCCTATTCTATACCAAACCAAATAATCGATAAACAATAAATTATTTTATAGAAAAACAAATGATAAATGTATTTGAATAATCGTCTTACAGTTGCATTGTAATATAGCCATAGAAAAATGATCCAAGAACGATACCTTGAGTTTTTGGACTCCAATTGAATTCATATTGTTAGTGAAAAGAATAAATGATTTATGTATACAATAATTCCGAAACAAATAGATCCTATAGGCTGTAGTCAAAATTAGAGTTTAGTCTTCGATTCTAGTAAAGGTGAACATTTCATCGAATTAAGTTAAATCTCGCTTAGATATATAATTCAAAACAAAATACTTCAATTTCTTCTAGTCAACATCAGAACTTTAATAATGACCACAGAGTACATAGATATGTACCGGTGTAGTTTCTGTAGAATTTTTATATAAGGGTAGACATGATTTGATTGATTGGTTTAAAGAGCCTTGTGGTGCTACCTAAAGAAAGAACTCAAATTCTATTAAGTTATATTATCAATAAACGACCCATGGCGACAACAGCTGCTGATAAATTAACTCACATAGCATATCGACAAAAGAAGCCCATATGGCAATAACATACCGTGCCGGTACATTTGCACATTTGATGTTGCTTGTTACAGGTAGTGTGCTAATAATTTCGGTTGGCCGTCATAATATCGAAAGGAAAAATGTCGAAAGTAGAAATGCCGAAAGAAGGAAGAGGAATAATATCGAAAGGACAAATATCGAAAGGAAAAATGCCGAAAGGAAAAATGTCGAAAGAAAAAAATATCGAAAGGAAAAATGTCGAAAAAATTATATTGACATGAAACATTGCCAGTTAATATTTTAGAGAATCGTAAATAATATAGTGTATGTTTTGTTGTATGAAATTAAGCTGAAATGTTAAGGGTGAGAAAATTTTTTAANGCTTTAGCTGCACAATAATTAATAGTGCATATCCAATACTTAGTATTTGTTGTTACTTTATTCAACTCCTTTATTTTACTTGTATCAATAGTTAGTCATCGCTATCAACAGCGGCTAAAATTCTGCACTAGTAAAATTATAAGAAAAAACAATGAACTATATGTAATTAGAACCAACATACGCTTGAGGCATCATTATTTTTTTATTTTTCACTTTCGACATTTTTCCACATTAATATGTACGTTTCGACATTTTTCCTTTCGGCATTTTTCCTTTCGACATTTTTCCAGCACACCCCCTAGAACAAAATGAGATGATACAAAACGTTTCGGTCACGTTTATGGTATACTATCTCAATGATAGGTCAGTAAAGTCACCGGCTTGTGTTGTTTTAATTTTAATGAAATGCATCTTGCTCTTGAAAATTTAGCAAAATAAGAAAATAAGTATTATGATATAGTTGTATGCGACGGTATCGATAAAGAGAAATGCAAAGAAAATTACTCTCATGAAGATTATAAGTAATTTACACGTATCACTTTTCAACAAAAGTTTAAAATTTTGGATGTGAGTTAGATCTACCGACGATCCCCGACAACGGTTTTTTCTGTTCTGGCGAGACTTCATTAGATGGCAACTCAATATGATATCTATCATAAGTGAACATGTTGAGGGTGGAAATGCCAACAACACACCGAAATCATCTGAAATAGTACAAGAAAAAGAAATACTGTAGGTGTATCTCGTTCTTGCTATGATAGTCCAGAACGTCAAAGCTAGATATATGCAATTTCTCTTTCCGACTTTTTTTAAGGGAAAAGTACTTTCCAGTAGTAAAAACAATACGAATTCCCTTAGACAATTTCTGGTTACATGTCTGCTTAAATATCAGACTGATTATCATACGAAGAATTTTAATCAGAGGAATTCATACTCCCATTCGAGATAAATATGATAGATTAGTTCAAAATATAACGAAGAAGATTTTTTGATATATGCCAGAATTACAATGAGAGATTTTCTTACAATTCTAATCTTGAAGTCTACTCACACTCTGCACATTAATGTTCGATAATTCATAAAAAAACGAAATTATTTTTTCGTCAAATTCGATTGTTAAAAAATTATTTTAATCAGCTTAATGTTGTACAAAAACTCTTGAATTTCGATGTTTCCTCTTTGGCCTTAGTTCAGTTGGCATACGTTCGGTTGCTAAAAGAATCATTTCATGATTAATCAAGAGAAAATTAATTTCTTTAAAAAACACCGGCTGTATCATCGATATTATAATTAAAGTGAGAAAGGATTGTTCTCCGATATGAAAGCAATAGACTTTTGATCTTATTGTTTAAATCTGACATGACCATTCACAAACATTTATCAGCTAGACTTTTTTCGTGAATGAAAAGAACTGTATTAGAAAAGAAAGAAATATTTATTATTGTTTAATCTGTTGATTTAATCGCGCTTTTTCTGCTGTTCTTGGTATGAAATTGTCTTTTTTGTGTACTCAGAAAGGGAGTACACTCTAGAATCGCTCAGTGTGTCTGCCTGGCCGTAGGCACAATAACTTTCGAAAGGAGAGTGAGACCGTGATGAAATTTTCCACACAGTTCAATATCATGAATATCTTGGTTGAGTTCGAAGATGAGAAGAATCCCTCAAGAAATGGTTGAGTTATCGAAAAAATTGTCATTTTTGGCCAGACCATCCCTGAGGAGGAGTACATGGATTTTTTTTTCAAAAAATAAATCTTTCTCAGAATTATTCACAACATATATAAATCGACTCAGCTTTTAACGCTGATTCCGAATCTGATATTAGTTTTGCACTAAACCGTAGCTTTCTGATGAGACGTCGCCTGGCAAACGTCTCAAAATGCACAAAAACTGCATCCAGAAATCAAAATGCCTAGTTTCTCATGATAATTTTGGTGTTCAGACATTCTAGAATGACTCATATATCCCATGCACTTTTTGCAGTACACATAACTTTCGGATGAAATCCGAAGCGTCCACATTTTTTTAAACAACAGACGATGTATCCAAAGTAAAAGAAAACAAGATCTACTTATATTCAATGGAAATATATCTTTCGAACGACTAGCCAAGAAGAGTAACAATAATTCTAGTTAAAACCATTATGAATATATTATCGAATAGCATAACAAGGTCTAGAGATGTACCGAACTGAAGATTGAAAGTCTCGATTTCGGTCTATTCATAACTAGATCTTCTTCAATCGAGTTTTTAACAAATAAGTTATTTTCAATTAAATTATTGATTTCATTTGACGTCCTAACTGGTTTTTAATGATAATTATGGTGGGTGAGGGTGTGGGTGGGTAGGTAACATGAATCAACTCACACCCACACCCCATCCTTCTTTTTGACGAGTCTCATCAAAGAATGAATGTTGCTGTATATTGAATATGATAGTAAACACTCCAAAAATGATTGATGGAGCAATAGGAAGTAAAAATTTGGTCAAATTGCTCAAACGGCCTCTCTCACGAGGACGTTTCCAGATACCGATTGTTGGTACTGTTGTTGCGTCTTGTTCAGTTTTCTTCAAAACCCTACGTAGATGTAGTGCTCGTCAGTGAAACATATTAGTCTTGAATATCAAACACGACTACTACGAAAAATGCAGGCAAACCTGCAAATTGACATACTGGTGTTATTTTATGGTTACTTGATTCTCAAATTGACATTAGAATCGCACATTGTATAGTTTGACGTGTACAAATAAGAATAGAATTCCTTTACGCATAATGCAAATAGAAACAGATTAACAGCCTTCTATTATTTTTCATGTTGTCTTTTAGATTTATCTCTTTCTCTCTCTCTCTCTGAAAGGAGACTTTGAAAGATAGCAGCCTTTTTTGTATCCATTTACAGTAGAATTTATTCAAAAATAAAATATGATGTAAAGATAATACGTTAGAAATGAATGCAACCGTTTCCGAAGGATTCTATGGTGCTTGTTACGATCAAAAGTTTTTACACAAAATTTTCAAAGATTTCTTGTAACTGAGACAGATCCGATTCCGTTCCGAAGAACTGTAGAAAAATTCAAAATATTTTTGAATTTTTTTGGCACAATCCTGCATAATTACATAATTCAGTCTTTAATTGCGAGGCTGCATGGTCCTTAGTACTATTGTACAGCATCGAAAATAGCTCTGTATACTCTTAAAGCAGTTGTTGAGATCTATATTCATGTATAGACTCTTTAATATAAACCGAGTGGACCATTCATGATGGCCCTAAACACTTACTTATGTCCTTTCTGTAATTTTGCATAGCACGTATATTATTGTTATCAACCCGTACAGAAAGAACTTAAACGATGTTTTATCAGCCTGTTTGAGAAGTTTATAAAACTGCAATGTATAGCAAAACCTATAAGGATTCGTCAATATAATTAACCGTTTCTTAAGCATTCGAATATAAGTATTTGACATTAATAAACCCCTTATTTAAGGGCTTATCAAGAATCTTTGAACGAGATTATTATCTAACAGTAAAATTTTCAAAATCGCTCTTTAGGGTGTGGGGTGTGAGTGTGGATCCATGTGTGCGTGTGTTATCATTAATAGCGAATACTCATACCCACAATCACCCATGAACTTCTGTAGCAACTGCTCCAGTTTCTTAGTTTGATTGTAAAATGCGAAGTACTTAAAAACAAGTATGGCAATTCCAAGGACGTTTTTCAAGAATGGTACCTTCTGATAAATCTAGTGAAATGCGCGTTTGACAGAATTTAACAGGCTTTCTCTAAATAAACGAATATATGCGCCAGTGACTGTATATTATTGCCGCTTTTCCACCTTCATTCAATTCGATATATTCCGCATTCTTCATCTAGAGTATGTGGGTCTGACTCTAGGTGTGCACGTTCTCTTCAGTCACTTTTTCACCCACACTTCACACACCCAGCGCATGATCTATTTTTAATTATCAAAATAAAATATTTGGTACAACCAGAAGAATAGTACTTCGTGCTTTGTCAATTGATATATTCGCTGCTGTTGCAAATATTCGAGTAACGAAGGATTGACAGTTTATTTTATCTCCTGTTGCGATTAGTGCTCGATATTCGCGACTTTCAAAGGATTTTGCATAATCTTTTAATACGTCTGGATCAAAATCTTCCAATTCTGTCTTGATCAGATACCATGAATATTCCTTACAATCCCGTTCATACCATTCGTTCCTTTCGTTTTTCGAACTTATAAGAACTTTAACATCATGATTTTTATCGAGAACTAACTGATAAATCACTCCATTAATATGAATACACCAATGAAGCCCGTCAATACCAGGACTGATATTAACACCAATAAATTGTCTACCAATCGGTCGTTTTCCGATCCAAGCGCCTCTATCGAAATCGCTCGTTACACTGGCGATACCATGTGCAAGATTTCTTGGCATTCGTAGAGGATTCAAATCTGCCAAGTCCATTGTAACAGAATGCTTCGCTTCATGTGCGTCACCTTTTGCGGCATAAACTACACCTCGTACAACACCATACGCTAGGCCGACACCTGGAACAGCTTTAATTATATTGAAAACTTTTCTTTCGCCCATATTTTGGTAACAATCTAAAAAGCTGGTCATCATTGTACATAATGTTAAAAATAGTATAGGTGATCGACTCATCACTACATAGCGAACTTATGTAGAAAACCTGTACTATTACATTGTTTTAAATCTCTTTTCTGGTTTGGTTTTAAGGTTTTTTTATTGAATTTTTCGCTTAGGGGAGTAAATCTTCTGGAAAGTTCTATTACAAGATTTTTACCTAAAATTTAATTAGAGCATTTTATAATTTTCAGCTGAAATGAATGCATTGTTATCGAAATATTTATGGCTTTCCAATACGTACCACTGGAATTTTTCTACTACACAGAGAACTAAGCTTGATAGTGAACAATTTTGATAAGGATAAATTTGTTTTAAATGACACTTTTAGAATATTCTAATGATCACACGGCTCGACAAGGGCTCAAATTTTAGCTTTAAAATTTCTAATTGAATTTTATTGGGAAGTTACTCCCGTAGACCAAGCACATAATAATAGGCCATAAGTGAACATGAAGAGACCACAAACCCCAACCAAAATAGACTACTCACTGTCCCGCCAGAACACATCTAGAAGCAATCAGTATAAGACCAATGCTATTCTACAAAATGGCGATTTATCTCGTCAGCAGTTGTCTCGTTACTTTTCTATCATACTCAAATGCATAATAGCAAGGCTATCAACCATCAAACATTCAACTAAGGTAATTCATTGGCTTTTGATCTAGACGAGATTCGGGTCGCGTAGTATTATTCAAACGATTCTAGCAGAATGTAATGATGATTCTACACTGATTTTTTCTATTCTACGTTGTTTCTTATAATGCATGATTTATTCCAAAGAGTAGATTCTAAAGAACTGCTTCTTTCCTAATTTATACTCAGCTGGCATATATTTCGACACATCATGCTACCCTATTTTTTACCGTTTCCTGTTATTCGTTTACTTCTCATTAAACTTGAAAAATACAGCAATATATATCATCGACAAGATTGTGATTTGTTTAGTCAGTCGATTATTCATCATCGACCATTTCCTATGAGTTTTGATACCAAAACACTACTTGAAGTAGAAATTTCTTACCCAATCTTCCTAACCTTTGAATATTCATAAAAGACAATTTTTTTCTCGCACATGTGTTGTGTAACTTCTTATCAGATACTTTCAACACATGCGCTAAATAGGCAAATGGAGATAAGGCAATGTTTGCATACAAAAGCAAAAGAATGAAACAAAGATCATTACGCGGAAGGCTGAAAAGAACAAACAAATCTTTTCTTCGCAGCCAGTCAACCTTGATGGTGTGTAATGTCCATTCTTCATCTATACTCACATATACATCTACATCGACATACCCTCATACAATACGTTCACGTGCGATGTGTTTTCTGTGTATATTAGACATCATTTTCATACTGCTTAGACAATTGATAACAATGAATAGCCACGAGATCCAAAGGCGAGTTACTTTTCCTGATGCGTAAACGAAAAACAAAAGAGAAGGACAAAAAAACGTCCAACTTCGTAAAATGAAAATGAATTGAAAAATTATTTTTCTTCAAATCTCTAATGCGAACGAACAAATGATCCGATGTTGAGAAGAAAAATTGCATAACACATTCACCTATGGAAAACAGAGTTGCGCAGATTACAGTACCAGAAACAAATAATTATAAACGATCGGTGAATACAAAATAAAATCAAGCAGATTCAATCATATGCACTCGTTCCGACCATAGGCCGAAACCGAATCGAGTCGAATCGAATTTGATTTGAGAGACTGAACTTTTGTAAAGTTTTCATTGTTTCTTTCAACTGTTTCTCGACATTGGTCGTTACTATCAGCTGTTGCATTGAAATGATACAAATCTCACTCATTGCAGTGAATTAATCGAACAAAAAATACGATAAATAAAGGACGATGAACTGACGACATTCAATAGACACTAATGAATGACATACAATGACTTTCATTATATTCAATACATCAGGTTCTATTCACCAATTAGTCACACAACAATGAATTGACCGGGTGAATTCCTGTTTTGTCGAAATTAACAGCTCCAAAGCAGTGAGGGTGTGGGTGAAGGTGATTTTTCGACGAAATGGAATCTAACCAATTGACCGATCACCGATATATATATAATTGTTGTTGTTGTTGTTGTTGTTGAATAAATCTGCTATTGTCAATTATTATTATTGTTGCAAAAATCTGCTTTTGAAAATTTGTTGTGTGAGTCGAGCCGGATGTTTTTTGGCTTGTTTCGGTCTATGGTTCCGACTATGAATGAAGTATCGACAAACGGTGTTGCATAGACATAACAGTCTGTTTCTTGATCATTCTATTCATTTTAATAATATTTTTTTATTATTCAACCGAATTGAGTAAAGGTGAATTCCTTTCAAGTGTCGCAATTAAATTCAATTAAACGATTTGATTTTGAGCATCTGTTTAAATCGGAAATAAAAGAGGGGTGGATCTGAAAATGAGGCGAATGTTATACGCAAGCCCTATGAGATTTCTTTCAATAAGAATCTAAACTAAAATATTATCAAGAAAAAAAAATAGAAGAGAGTCGTATGTTTTTTTTCAATATGTTCAGGACTTGTAAAACTTTTTCAAATTTGAAATCTTTCAAAATATGCCGAAATATTGTAAGATTCTAATAAACTTTTATTTTCATGTCTCTCATTAAAACTTACGAACGGTGTTGTCTACGTCCAATAAAAGACTTCTCACCTATTAAGATGATAGCAGCAAATAATTACCTTATTTTGATATCTTATAAACTTTAGCATACTATGACTACTGTATAAGAAGAAAATCATTACACGATGCTTTCAATGAAATGAAAACATTTTATCCTCTCGAATAAGAATGTTTCTGTTTGTTTTTCAAAAATCTCTATCAAAAGTAAGATTGATGCTTGCTCAATTGAACGACATCTGGCGACCATTGTTTTGTGCGATTGTCGATAAAGTATAAAACGATTCAATACATTTACATATTTATTGATGCATAACGGATATGCATAAGTATTTGCTTAATTTCAAACATTCGAGATAGATTAACAAATAGATCATAACCGTCAAAAACCAGTTTGTTAAATACAACTTTTTGATCAATGACTTCAGTTAAACTAGTTGAAGAAGAAAACTTTCATTTGAAAGGTGAAGATATTTCGCCAGATCAAGATAAATGTAAATATTTTCATTGCATATCATTAAGTTATATTTTTGATCCTCTTCTTTTTGTTTTCTTGCTCGTTCAAAGGTTTAATGAAAGAAATCGTTCGTCAAGGCATCGACGATGATAAACCAATGTTTGATGATCAAGTTTTCATTCATTATGTTGGAAGTGAAATGGACGGAACAGTTTTTATCAATAGCCGAGATCGAAATGAGAAATTTAGTTTTAGTTTAGGTAAAAGAGAAGTCATTCAAGCTTGGGATCTTGGTGTAGCTACAATGAAACGTGGAGAAATAGCACGATTTTTTTCCCAACCGAAATATGCTTATGGTTTAAAAGGTGAAAAAAAACGAATGGGATCTGCCACAAATGTCATCTTTGAAATAGAACTAATAGATTTTGTTGGTAAAACCGATTTTTCGACAGTCGTTGTCCATTCTGTTTTTTTCTTGAATTTCAGGGAAAGATTTAAGTGATGGAAAAGATGGAAGTATCATTAGAAGAATAATTCGTCGCGGTGAAGGATGTGAATCACCTAATGAAGATGCAACAGTAGAAATTAATCTGAAAGGAATGTATCAAGACAAAATCTTTGATGAACGAACTGTTAGGTTTTTCGTTGGATTGGGTTTTCTTGAGCAAGTACCTTCAGGGTAAACAGAAAATAATTGATTGTTTTTATTGCTATTCGAATTAAATTTTTAGTGTTGAACATGCTGTTTGCAAAATGCTTAAAAATGAACATTGCCAATTAGATTTAAAAGGAAAATTACTTGTAGGTTTGGAAAAATTTTCCATTCCAATCGATGGATCTGTTCGGTATGAAGTAGAATTGATTAACTTTGAAAGAGTAAGAAAGACAAAAACTAAAGAGAGAATTACTAAACACTGTTTCTGAAGAATTATCAATTGATGTTCTAGTTTGTAGAAAGACGATTCTTAGATGCTCAGCAAAAACTTAAACGATCCGAACTATTAAAAGCACGAGCAGATGATCTTTTAAAAGTATTTTCTACATTTTCATTTTCGGTCTATGATTGAATATGTTTTTCTTGTGTGTCATTGCAGAACGGTTATCATGAACTCGCTGTGAAAAGATATCAAATCGTTGCTGATTTTCTTTCATCAGTATCATATCACACTGATGATGATAGAGTTAAATCCCAACAATTGAAATTGGCTGCGCAATCAAATTCAGCATTATGTTATTTAAAATTAGGTGATTATCAACAATGTAAAACATCCTGTGATAGTGGGCTAGCTTTGGATGCTATTAATGAAAAGTGTTTTTTTCGTCGTGCTCAAGCTCAACTAGCTTTGCTCAAATTTGACTTAGCACTAAAAGATTTCCAATTCGTTGTCAAGATTAATCCATCGAATCTTGCTGCTCAACAACAAATTGAACATTGCCATCAGGAGATTAAAAAACGTGAAATGAAACAAAAAGAATTATATAAATCGTTTTTTAAATAAAATATTTAAAAAAAGAAGTCGTAACAACAAATAAAAACATCATAGTCTAAAACTGATATTTCTAATGAAATTTCTTTTGCCTTTTAGTGTAAACAGTATTTTTCTATGTGGACTTAGAACAACTACGAGGAGATACGCATCACAAGGTACTACTTTATGATGAAAAAGGTTTCTCTAAACTATACATAAATGGTGCAAGGCCGGACAGTTTTAGTGGAAATTTATAATACATTTTTTTTATTTCGTTATATTTCCCCGTTTTCTAATATAATAAATGTCGAGAACAATAATCAAGGTTTTCTTTGAGCTGCGTTAGAGTGCGATACTAGATCGAAGTTCAGTGGTAGTGCAAGAATAACAAGGAAAGAAATAACATTTGCTTATCTCAAAATGATTCAATGAACATATCTAGTCATTTCGTTGCAATCGATACATAAAAAGATAAGAGAATGTAACGAAAAAAACTTTTGGCATCATGACAAAAAGACTTCATGTAAAATGAATATTCTCATGTTTATTACTTGGAATCTTATGTAAGATACGATACAGCCAATTGATTGATATTCATTCGGAGGACCACACTGGCCGGCGAAGCAATCTGTAAGTACATATCCACGCGCTTCCTTTTCATAAGTGACTTATTTACAGAGCATATAAGCCATGTTTGTAGAAGTAAATATATATAGGAATGAAAGAAAATAAATTTTATGCAAATAAACGCTTGTATGACGTCTTCGATTAAAATAAAATAGCAGTTTGAAAGATGTGGGTGTGACCGTGAATCACTTTGATCTTCACGCTCACCCTAGTTTTTCTTACTGAATCTTTCTGCAGAATAAGCGTTTGAATGTTTTTTGTGTACTCCAAAAACAATGAGTACACTAGATTCGGTCAGTGTGTCCGGCCGTCCGGCCGTTAACACGATAACTTTTGAAAGCCTCATCCAATTGTCATGAAATTTTGTACACAGAATGATCTCATCAAGATCTCAGTCGAGTTCGAAGATGAAAGCAATCTGTCAAGAAATGACTGAGTTATCGAAAAAATTGTCATTATTGACTAGATCATCCCTGAGAAGGGGTACAGTGATTTTTTCAAAAAACTTTTTTTTTCTCAAAATTATTCACAACATATATAAATCAGAGACCGAAACCGATGACAAAAGTGCCATTCGATTCGATTCGGGTTTTCTGGTCTTTTTAAAATTGTAATTCGATTCGATTCGGGTTTTCTGGTCTTTTTAAAATTGCAATTCGATTCGATTCGGATTTTCTGGTCTTTTTAAAATTGTAATTCGATCCGATTCGGCTAAAAACACGAAAAAAATCAATTCGATTGGATTCGATTCGACTCAAATTGGGTTTACAAAATATGGTATTCACTATTACATAGTATTGTTGTTTTCAGACTGTCATCGTCTTAGAATGAGAATAGTCTGTCGATCTTCTATAGAAATATGTTGAATAAATATAATTTATGAAGATATACATAAGAATTTACACACGTATATATAGGAGAGAGATAGAAGAGAGACAGGGGAGAGAGATATTAGAACAATGGAAAGAGAACAGAAAGAGAATGAAGGAGAATCATCGAAGCGTGCCATCAATATCGGCACAATTGCCTTTTAGGGATCGTTTATGTGAAAAGATAAAGAATTTGGTTGCCCTTTGGGCTTTTCAACTTATTGGTTGTAATACTGATAATCAAGATGGTAATGCTACACAGGCTGAAGCAACTACATCAACAGTCGACAACGTTTTATTATGTACAAAAGATATATGTGATGGTGGTGGTCTTACACCAAAACGAAAAAGCCTTTTTTCTTATTGTGAAGCACCACAAAACTGAATCAAAAAAATTGCGTGTCGATGT